TGAGTTCGTGGTACTTACCCGAACGAGCCTGCCCAATCGTAGAGAAAACTATATAAACTAGTATGTAATTATCGAAAAACTATAAAAGAAATTATTTATTTAAAGGTAATAAATTTGACCTTGGAAAGTAAGGCACCATGTCGTGTACAGAGGAACTTGATGCAGAACCTGCAGAATAACTGCATTGCCTGCTTAAGGTTTAATTTTCAAATACGTGGTTTATTCAACTTTGATCGAGTGCCAAGTATGATCCCGTTCAGAGAAGCTTTGAAAGCTAATTAAACCGACGCCAAGTCAAGCCGGTTTAATTTTTGTACAACGTCAATTTCACATAACTTTATGTATATATATTTTTCTGTTGATTTGAAATTGATGAGAAAGAAAATTTTGTAAAAGGAAAGCCCATAGCTTTTTCTATGAATTCCAATAAAACCCGTAATAATTGAAATCTCTATAATCATTTAAAATAACTTTTTTCATAAATTCTTACTCCAAATATACACAATGCTTAGTATGTTGCTTTTAATTGCAACAGATGCGGCTCTTATTGTATACTTACTTACTCATTAAGTATATAAGAAGGTTATAATTATGCCACAGGACTTAAGTGCCTTATTCCGTAATTATAATAATTATATAACTTTGCTCTTAGCTCCATTAGATAGTGGTGTTTATGGCCGAGCTAATTATAGTATAGCCAACCGCCCGTTTTATTATTTAAGAAAAAAATATGTATAGACATAGTTAGTAATAGAATAGATTAGAATACAAAATATTGTAACTAATGTTATGAGCTAGGGATTCGGGATTGGATATAACGCCTAACGTTTAAATATTCATTTCATTGACGCCACAACAAACGTACACAGCGACCCTGTCAATACCCTGTAATCACTCCTACTACCAGTGCAACTTTCTCGCATCAATCCTCCAGAATCGACTCTTCCATTTCTTCCTGATAGACTCGCCAATTCTCGCCGCAATCGGATGTTACGAAGTCGTACCCCTCCGTGCAGCAACCCACGGGACACTTGCACATAGTAGTCCTATTGATTGTGGGATAAATCCACTATCCTAGTACTTAACACGCTATTTCTGTGCCTTCCGCCCGCCTTCTTCGACAAAACGTACTTGTCACAGTGCTCCCATGTTTTATTGACTACTTCGGATGTAAGGTTGTAATACTGGCAAATTTCGCGCACGGAACGGCCCTTATGCATTTTACTGACGATTGCACACTGTGTAATGTGGATAAGATCTTCGATCCCCACCTCACATATCCGTCGAAGACAATGGTTAGGTCTTGACTATAGCTGTCACCGTTGTCCATGTCATTTTCCACAGCTTCTACTTCCGCAGAATTGTAAAATCAGCAGTTTGTAAAATCTTCTTATGTTTTTGTATGACGCGGAGTTTTGCAATAACTTTTTTTGTGATTTAAAATTTGATAAATCTTCATAGGCCGGTCAAGTTAGCCCAAAAAAATAGGGATTCGCATAGAGCTGAAAATTGGTACGAATGTTCGAAACACATTATAAATGAAATGTGAAATGTCCCAATTCCCAAGAATTTGTTCCAATATATTATGTTCATTAATGATGACTTTTTACTGGGACCGGTAATTAGGCTCAAAACACTGATGTCTTTTGGGTCCAATTCACATTCCCAGTCAATTGATTACCAAGCCACACTTGTACTTGATAATGCTGAAATAAATGTTGATGAGCTGAAGAAGAGGTTAAGCTATAAGCTGAAGGAGGAGGATAAGCTAAATGCAATCGCTTTTTATGAGTATTTTTTACAGAAGTTCAAATGGTTCAGTTGTTCAAAACTTCTAGTGAACACTGGAACAGTATAGGCGGAGAGAAGCCTGAAATGACATCATCATGAACGCAAGGAATTTTGAAAAAAAAAAAGGATGTAAGGAAATATCCGTGGAATACTTTCTTATTTATTTATTAACTATTTTTATGCAAACATGCCATTATTACGTAGTAAATAATAGTAATAAATTATAACATATTATATATTTTGATCATTTTACGATGTGTTCATGGGAAACTTTAAAAGTGGTGTTCAATAGTAAATACAAATATGTTATTTATTGCTTTTTTGTATCATATTTACTATAATACAGTAGGTGGATCCGTTACAAATTGAATTAACATCACTAGAAACGTTACCACAGAGCGTGCTCCCTGAAAGTTAAAACAAAATTAGGACTAGGCAATTCCTTATTGTAATAATTATTTATAGAGATTAATTAAATACAATAGTAGTTATCAAATACAATTATTTACTTGGTAATATAATTCTTTTTATGACTATGGAAAGGTGTACAGATTACCTCTAATACAAGCAAATAATCCATCTTGTACAGGCCCCGCGCCGTGAATACAGGAACCTGATGCAGTATTTGCAGCGAAAATTGCATTGCCTGTGAATGGAGATTTTACTATCGAATACGCGATTCATAGAAATTTAAGAGTGCGGAATCATATCATTACCCTTATCTATCGAAGCGAATCTAACATTAAGAAGCCAGTTTCAATTCTTAAAAATTTACATTACTTTAAGTGGACATTTTTTCTACTTATATAAAATTCTAGTTCTGCTGATATACAGGGAGGCATTTTTAAGTGTATCCATTTTTTTAAATTAAATTATAGACATAAAGAATATTATATAAAAATGATAAATATTTAAAATCACTCGTAATTTATTATTTACATACATTTGAACTTATCTCAAAAAGTGCGTGATTTATGCGCAACTCATTTATTATACGCGCGATCATTCATAACTAACACACATAACGCATTTATGAATGACTACCGCATTGTCAACAAGTTCTGTTTTAATGGAATAGAATTGCAATTTTTTGGGGGAAAAAAAGGTTGTTTTTATTTCAATGAACGATTATACTACCGAGTCAGACCTCTCTTGTGAATTTGGGCACCTTTAGAAAAGCCACACTATAAGTGTGAGGACTACTCCTTTAAAGACTAGCATTATGTTGGCTGGAACCCACGAGTATCGAAGACGGTTACCAGCGGTGGTAGTCACTTAACATCATGTTAACTATCTGGATACTCGTACATAGGGTTGCCAACCATACTACATAATAAAATATTTTACTGTATTTTTAGTAAATATACTTTATACTTTTGCATAAAAATAAAGTATGTGAAAAAACTTTATTTTCAATATTTACTGTGATGCATAAAATGAAACACTTACTATGTATGTACCTATATGAATAATAACCGAACTTTTATCGATACTTCTAAGTTAAAACAGTACGCTTTCTAATTAGAAGCTTTAGCTGTTAATTACATTTTATTATTAAACAAAAACATGTTTTCCCTAGAAAATTTTATTACTTTTTTGTTATGTAATAATTTGTCTTTTGATATATTTTTAAACTTTTGTTGGGATCAGTGTCTTTGCGTGCTTGCACAAATTTTAATTGTATTAAAAAATGAAACCCTTTTTTATTTAAATTGGGAATGTAGTGAAAAACTGTGAGCGTGTGCTACAAGCATACAAAAATATATTTTCAAAAGAAGAAATGAATAAAATTTTGAAAAAATACTTTTTTTGTTCCAAATACTTACTTACTTTTTTTTTCACTACTTTTAATATGTGATACATTATTTTTCTCAAAAACAGTTGGCAACCCTACTCATACACCACACGCATGATATTATCACGTAAAAGAAAGAGAAAAATCCAATGCATCATTTTTAACTTATGCATATAGCCTGCCGCGTCGAACTAGTGGTGAGTCTAAACGAGTCATACTTCTGGGGGTATTTCGTTATAATTTGATGTCATATTCGTATGTGACCCGCCACATAACAGTTAATTCCTAGTCGTTTTTAAGTTATATAAATAATGGCATATACCTAAACATGAAGTTTTTTATGTTAATTATTACCACATTAGATAGGCCGACCACGATAGAATTTGCTGTCACAGTTTTTATAACATATAGTAAATATTTATGTATACATACATATATTATACACAAATACGTGAGACTAAAACGTTTTTAGGAATAGATATTATAAAAGGAATTACGGAATTTGACGCATTCAAAGGTTATAATTATTATGATAAATACAATATGTTGTACAATTTTTACAAATACTTATAGTAAATAAATGAAATGTTCAAAACCACATGTGTTTTTAAACAGTTGCGCAAAGTAAAGATTGTCATAAAGGCATTTTCCATTTAATTTTTCCAACGTGTTTCTTATAGATATGATATACTAGCTACTGCGACTACGTCTGCGTGGAATAGGCTGAAGGCGTAACATTCAAACAGAAAGACAGATATACATAAAAATATGTATATAAATTATTATAAACTATGTTTTATTTTGATGTATAAGTTATATTATTGTTAAGTTTCATTAAAATCCATTCCGTAGTATTTGCGTGAAAGAGTAACAAACATCCATCCACAAATACAAAGTTTCGCCTTCATAATATTAGTAAGGATAGATGATAACATTACGGTAAAAAATCTCTCACCTCGGAAGTTACGGCAGGACCTTCGTTGTTATTAATGATCTGATGAATCACGAACGCTGTAGCTTTGGCCTAGAATAATTGTAAATTTAATTTTCATTAACACAAGTCCAAACCAGGGGATAGAATTTCAACCTTAGCTAGGAAAGAAATTAAGAATAAAAATTAGAAAACTATCTATCATCATTCGTACCTCAGCTACAGTCGATTCGCATAGCCATACCATTACGTAGATGACGCCAGTTGCTACAAGAATCTGACATGCAACGTATATCAGGAAATAGATGTAACGCGGTATGTCGTGGAAAAGGCCAGATGCAGTCGCTTCCATGAGATAAAATAAATGCAGGATATCTGTTATCAAGCACCTTAACATGGTGAATGCTAATGCTAGACCAAATTTCTTGTTAGCCCTCTCCGTGGAACGATAAAGCATACTATAAATATTTGCGCACGTTTTTATTTTCTCACAAACATATTTATTTTGAATCCGCAAGGCTTTCTGCTCGTTCCGCACATGTCTCTCCCGTACGAAGAACTCGTTAAGTACTCCGTAGAATTCTTCTCCTTTACCGCCCACAGAAGTTTGTTAACAATTATGTAGCGTTCCTTTACGATGATTAGATAAATACAGTAGTATGATGCCAGCATTATCACCAGCATTTCGGCGTACACAATTTGAAACATTTTACAATATGGCATGGCTACGTCGCAGTTCTTCAAGATAATCCATAGAGCGAACATCTTCGTCGCGCTCAGCACAAATTGGAGCAGGGAAGAAATGAAGGCGATAAAAGCAGACCTGGAGAAATCAATAGACTCACACATACTTTCTACTGCTCTATCGATGCAGATGAGCTCCTGGGCTTTAGACTGAAACCCGCTCAAATCGAATGGCACCTTCCACATTACGTATAGCACGTATAAAAAGGTCATAACATTCTCGAAGATATCGGCATATTGTTTGAGTTTAGTATCGTACAGAATTCTCAAGATAGTTTGGTCTTCCATAAAGGTGACCAACGAGCAGTAGAAATACAGTAAATACCAAAAGACGAAACAGATGAAGCCGAGATAGCTGAGTCGATGTTCTAAATCAAGGCCATTGCTGACATTAACTGTTAAGACGCTAGCACCCATTAACGCCCTGACAAAGTTAACGAGATACCAAGACTCTATTACAGTTTTGTATCGCTTCATTTGTAAAGTGTTCTTGATCTTTTTAATGAAGCACTCCAACATTTTGAAACGTACGCTATGGCGTAGAATGTTTTCAAAATAAAGTTCACAAAAATGACTAATGATTGGTCGACCGTGTGAAATATTAAAATTAATATCCCGAAAACGTCCATCGTAAGGGAATTAATACACTTTCACTTAAACGATATAATTTAATAAACGACATGATGTGGGATCTAATTGAACTAATTTTGATATAAACACAAATAAAACACACATATCGCAATTATCCAACAGATATTAGATACTTTATTCCTGAAAATTCACATTTACAGTGGTGTAACCTGCATTATTGAACATTGTAGGCATATTAATCGTTTCGAATAACAATGAAAAGGTAGGCGAGTTATATACAAAGGGTTTTAAGTAATTGAACCACTTCACAATTATTTAAAAGCACTATACATATAACTTTACATAACGTGTTATTAGCATATCTTAACTGTACTATGTTATATAGCCGCTGAAAATGTTGTAACGTGGTTACTTTACAAAGTGCACATTCATATGGCTCATAAACTCCTCGGGGTTTCTTCAAATTTCACGTAATAAAAAAAATAGAAGTAACCAATACCCCAACTTAACAGATACTGCTTCAGGTGTTTTTTTTTTTTTTCCATTACAAACAGCTAGTGAGATATTATGGCCTAACAAAAACTATCATAAGGCGTTCTCGTAAAAGTAATTAAAAAAATAATTCGAGGTCGTGTAAATTCAACTTGCTAGACACAAAACGCAGCTCGTAAAACACGCTCGCATACACCGTTTGCACCCCATTGAAAAATTATATGACGGAGTAACACTTGTGATTGTGAACAATGTTACAAAAGCTGCGACCGGCATAGACACATATGGCACAAAGTATATAGTAACAATAAAGTTACGGTAACATATAACTATTGCTTCTCATTAAGTTCTGCCAAGCACATTAGTGATATTTATTGTGATATCTCCAATCTTAAACACAAACCACTAACTATTTTCACCAGAAATATATTTTACCACACGACATTAATCACTATAAAGTTCAAAAAGGCCTCTATTATTATTCTTATATTAAATAACATGTAAATTTATTGATATACTAATATTGATATTATGATATCACTGCGATTGCGGAAATTAATTCGGGTTTCATTTAAGTATAACTCAGAAAGGAGAAGAGCATAAGTAAAATTATATAATGGTCAAAAACTTGTTTTCTTTAAATATAAACGAAAACAAAGATGTATTTAAAAAATGCCTAAACAGATCTTTAAATTAGGCGGAATGTAATGTTGGAATTGTTGCCAAAGATTCTTAGTATTTATATATTTTGCCTATACTAAATATCTACAAATAAATGAGATAAATGTAAATACAAAAATATAAAATTATTATAATAGTTGCACTTTAAGCTTAGTACATTAGTAGCCAAACCACGATTTTAATTCCAAATTTAGAGGGACAAAACATAAAATTTTTCCAATTAAACGAATTGACCTAAAATGCATATAAATTTATTGTTATATTGAGTTTTAATACTAAAAATGTTGGACTGTATCAGAAAGTAAATTTAAAAATAATATACTGTGTCCATTTTTCCAGCTTAAGTCTACATCAATTGAGATTAAAAAACAATATAAGTACCATAACACACGGTACCAAATAAATAGTAAATTTAATACAAATCACAAAGAGTGACGCAATAGCGAAAAAAAAACTTTAGATTATTTAATAGATATGGCCAAGATTTACATTAATACTTAAACGACATGCTATTAGCCTCAAAGTTAACGTGAAAATGTAAAGGTAATAATTACATTTGTAAAGAATTGCTCACAGTGGATATGCCCCTAGTCACAGAAGTTAATGAGCGCGGAATAAAAAAAACGAAAATCGCTTTGCTTTCAATAAAAAAAGAAACAACAAAGCGCTGTGAATTGATGATTGGAAGTTTAAAAAAACACTTAATAATCTATTGTTTGTGATACTAAGAAATGGACAATTGGTTGACAGTTTTATGACTGAGTATTGTTTTTTTATGTTTTTGATGTGCAGCTATGAATTTGAGAAGTTTTAAAAAACGTAGAATATACTGGCGGAATACGAAATCCTAAGCCGAAAATATTTAAGAAAATAAATTATCAGAAAAGATTTGAGAACATGATTTATTCTTATTTAATAATGAAATATTGTGTACTCTCATGATAGGTAAAATTAATTAAAAACAAAAAACAAATTCAATCCACTTTTTTTCTGTACTTGTTCGACTAGCTACATCTCAGACATAAAACATTCTATTTTTGTACAATTACAAACAGTACTAGCTAAATGAATCAAATCTTAAGCGGATATCAAAACAAAGTTGCATGTAACTTAGTTATTCATCCTAATTTCTGAGAATTTATTTATCCCTCAAACCATTTGTCAATTTTCAAAATAAGTGAAAACACTTAAATTCAAATAGTAATAGTGATTTTATGAACTAAGAACAATTTACACTCTGCGATTCTTTTTTATTATGTAAATATTTAGTTAAATGTATTTTAATTGAATGTAAATTTCGTTGTGTCAGTTAGCTGATAGGATATCGTTTTAAATGTTTGTAACAAATAAAAATATTACTCATAATATGAGTTTCCCTGTGTTAAAATGATGAGAAATTTACCTACCGAAGGAGAGCGCGTAGAGAAAACATAAACAAAAATCTAAAAAACACTATGCAAAATAATTTCTTTCTACGTCGGTTCAGGAGACCTTTACTTTAATACTTTTTACTTATGTTAGAATATATTCTCGGACCAGCCTATATACATTTTTACACAAAATCTACAGAAAATTTTACATGAGCCACTAATTTTCTAAATTGTTAAAGATTCAGGAACGAATTAAATATTATGTGTAGTTTTTTTTTAATTTTTTAAACATTTTTACAACAGAATGTGCCAAGGTCTAAATATTGATGTTATGAAATGCTTTCAGCAAGACAGCGGCTCAATTTTTTTGAATATGGCAATGAAATATTTTTTTAAATATAGGTTTTCCGCGCACGCCTTTACAATACGGCATAACAGAATTGCATTGCATAGAACATTTTAATATACATTTGTGATACTGAGAGAAATATTCATACATCATTCAATAATATAAAAATTTTTATAACTATATTCTTTATAAATGCATAGCATCCAACTTGAGATTTTAACAATATTTCTGATCTAAAAATAGCAAGAATTGCAAAGTGAAGTTAGGAATCTCCATTATATACTTATTTTTTCATCTATATATTATCTCCATAAGCATGTCTATGTAGGTATATGTAAATAGTTTTTATTTTTATTTATATTTTTATGTAATAGTAACTTTATATGTGACCACATGTGACCGAACTTTCTATTGCTATATTCATAGGCAAGCGATCAAACAGTTTCCATATTGAGGCACGTCAAACCATTTTCCATAATAAATCCCAAAGCAGTCATCATCAAAGATAATTCACAGTAAAATCACAGTGACAAATATAGATAGACGCACATGGTAAATAGTCATATTATTAAACGTGTAACTCTCTGACTTATATACCACATAGACCATTGCATATCGTTTTATGACATTAAAATAGAGGTATACAGCATTGTCGCAGTTCGGTTATATAAACTTGATACGTTAGAATTCCCAGACGCCGACTCCATTCAAAATTAAAAAAACAAACAATATGTTGATTGCAACGTACTATAATAGTAATACCTACGAAAAGTTCATGTAGCCGAAGATTAAACCTTAACATTAGAGGTATAAACATAATCATAGGAAAAATATTATAAATGCATTTTGTGACCGTAATGACAATAAATTGTGATGAGATTGTGCTCGGTCCCATATAAAAACGCTAAAAGCGAATGTTAAACGGGGAGGCAAGTTACGGTTAGAGCTGCCGTGAAAATGCTTCGTAGAGACTCGATAAAGGTTGCAAAGTAATCACTTTGAATATCTACACCCTACATGAAGGTGTAGTTCATCTTGTGACAAAGCCAGACAAAGCCAGAGTGCAGCTTCACAAAACATATATTTCGATATCGTTTCCACGTCCAATTTGAATCGGGAAATATTTGTAAACTATTAACCGCCGTCCTCACGCGCCAATGTACTACTAAGTTTACTAACTAAAGATAACAAACACGCGTTCCTCATAACAACACCGCACGAGTACATTGCACATACTCTTTCATAAAGCTCGAGTTCTAAATACAATTAAAAAGAAAATCACATCTCATTAAATATCTTTGGATACAACCAAGTAAAATTATTCTAGAATAGCGTACAAAAATACAAAAAATATACAAGAATGTCGAGACGCGGCGGCTCGGTGATTACTTGCGCGCCACAGATCAATGGATATGGGACAGACTAGACGCGTCAGCGTGTCGATACGGTGCACATCGCGGAGTTGCCTCTCGGAGGCTAAAGATTGTCCAATGGGCGCCGTTCGTGTCAGAACTCGGTCCGGCGCAACGCAACGACGTTGTTGTTGCAGTAGTTGAGGTTCGTCGTCGGTCACAGCAGCTCCTGCACGTGGGACGTGTCGAGGCCTGTAATGAGGGTCTTGAGGAAGGTCATCTCCTTGCGCGCGTTCTCGAGGATGACGCGGGGATCCTGCGACGTGCAGCGAAGGCAGTTCGGCGCAAACACCATCGCCAGGTTGGCCGAGTCCATCTTCGTCTGGCTGACCACCTCCGGCGCGGTGAACTGTTGCAGGAAGCTGATCAAGTAGGTGAGGACCTGGGCGGGAAAAAACATCTGTCTATAATCGGGGCAAATTCTCTAGTAACAAAAAAGATTTTTTTTTTGAAACTACCAGACCAAATGATGCGAGTGCAACACAAACCCGCAGAACAAGTCCGACGCAATGTGTTTGTTAAATAAAAATACCTCGACGCAATAATAATCAGCGCCGTGCTTGCCCGTGCTGTCTTTGCGATTTTTTCATGTCGCGACAAAAGAACCGCTACGCGACGTTAACGTATCGTGACCTGACGTGACGTGTAATGACTTAAGCGTGACACGATCGGTCCGTCCACCTACCAAGCGGTTGAGGGCGGGGAGACGCTGCAGCGCGCGGCTGCACGCTGCAAAGTCGCTGCCAGCCGCCACGCACGCCCCATACAGCGCATCCGGAATCAGCGGCTCGTACAGTTCGCGGTACCATAGTTTCAGTAGGCTGGCCGGTGCGTGGGCGTCTAAAATTAAAGAAAGTAAAGTGTTTTTTAAGCATTTACTCTACATACTAACAAAGGTACCGAATAAAAAACAATTCTTGCTTTCGATCAGTTGGTACTTGTCCCAAACCGATCTATCGCCTGACGGAGAACATCCTGAAAGGCTTCAACCACCGACTGCTAAACAACAGGCAGCTCTCTTCCTCGATGTCGCTAAGGCATACAACAAAGTCTGGTACTGCGACTTGCTTTACAAGCTGTTCGTGCCAGATAGTCTCGTGCAATTTCTGTCAAATCGCTTTTTTCGTTAATGAGCAGAGAACACATTACCACGGGCGGTGCTCAGTGCCGGATTAAGCAAGCGCGGGGCCCGTGGGCAAATTCTTTCAAACAGCTCTTAATCTTTTATGGGTTCTAACTATAAAGTGTTAAAAACACAATTCAATACTCTCACTTATTTAATAACTTTCACTCATATTCAATAAGGCTAAGGCAGAAATGAGTGGGTTTAATATGCGAGACCCCTTTGGCGCGGGGCCCGTAACAATTGCTACTCTTGCTACGTGGTTAATCCGGCACTAGCGCTGCTTTCGGCGATTTAGCGTTCCTCAAGGGTCCTATCTCTCCCCTGTGCAATTTTCGCTCTAAAAAGTTGCTTTTTTTACCAGTTCTATAGCTTAATACAAAGCTTTCCACCGGTTCTCACCACCCCAAGTCACCGTTTAACACAGACTTCTGGCATCATTTTGCGAGCAAAACTGAAGTGGGCCACGCTAGCGGCTCATTTATGCTGCAAGCCCGGCGCTTCAAATACCCTTTAGCCTTAATGGGGGCAAAAACAACATACCCGTGAGAGTGGTGGCATCGGGCAGCTCCCAGTTGTCGATTTTGGCCTTGAGGGCGTTGACCTCGTCCACGTCGGCCGACACGCGGAATATGCCCTCCGTCTCTCGGCCGTTCAGCGCCAGCACCTGCTGCGACAGGGCCACCTGCACCCAGGGCAGCTGCCGGTTGGGGAAGCGCTCCTTCTGCAGCGCCATCACCTCCGCCAGGGTGTTGCCGAACATCGACTGACGGAATATCTGGATCTGTGCGTGATGAATACAAAATACAATTTCAGTTCTACCACCGCGCCTTATACGGGGCCTCCAAGATTGCCTACTTGACAGTGACTTTTCGAAATGCTTATATTTGATTACAAAGAAGGGAAACAAATAATATAGATAATATATGGTCAATAGTAAATTGGAGAGGTCATTTTGTTATTCACATATCTTCCTAATACAATTCTATCATGGACTTATTGAGAGACATTACATAACATAAGCCATTGAATTTAGAAACATGAAATGAAAGTTCTATATTAAAGTTAGATATGATTTTTCTTATTGTATGTTTTTTTATTTAATGGAATATTTAATCATTTATCACCTTTTGGGGTTAGAGTTCATTATTGTAATTCAACAATATATAATATATTCATTTGACCATCTCGGCATGTTAGGTAATCATTATCATCCTCCTGCCAACATGATATGTTGTAAGCGGTTTTGGCTATGTTTTTTACGACCGGCCGCCTACTCGACGTCCACCCCCCCTTAGGATACAAATAAGCGTGTAAATAATAATGTCCGTAAAGGTGTGTCGCTGTTTACCCTGGCTTGATCGATGTCCTCCGTGCTGGGCTTGCGCGGTTGCCTCTTCCCACCGAAGCCAATCCTTTCTAGGCGTTTACACGCGACGCCCGCGTAGTGTGACACTTGAACGTGGATCGGCCACTTGCCAACCTGTGGAAAAAAAATTACCATGCTACGCACACATACGCATCGTGTAGTAGTGTTTTATGTAAAAAGCGTATTCGGACGTTGTAAGAATCACCCAGAAACGCATTGAACAGAAACGTTTGCCCTGCAGGAGGAGAAATTTAGTAATAGTATATTTTTACATGCGATTCAGGTTAAAATGAAAGATGACATAAGCGATCGTTCATTAATCGCGTGAAACTCGAAAGGGAGGTTAATCAAAAATCACGAAACACCACAAGGAGGGGGGTTTGGGGAGTATATAAGTAAGATATCACGTGTAGTTATTTGGAAAGGGGTGTCTCACACACTTGAGTCGCCGCTGCTAGCCAAAGATTTAACCGACAAAAAGTCTGCCTGGACATTTATCACGTCAATATTCCATAATTAAATAATATTATGCTTACTTGTATTTGAACATATTGTAAAATTTTTATGATATCCTGTTCTAAATGATTTAAGATGGACGGGGGACTAAATCTCACCATCACTAGTTAGGTAGTAGGGCAGTTAAAAAAAATGCTTTAAAAAAACGTCACGTGATTAATAGAGTACCATAAAGTCCTGTTTGATGGATTTCTGGTTAATGAGTGTGTTTCAAGCAAAGCGCAAAAAGGCTCGCGATCGCCGGTAGGGGTCACTGACCTCGGGGAAGGCGTCTGCGAAGGCGGGGTCCCGGTGCCGGTTGACGTAGTTGGTGAGTGCGGGCTGGAAGGCGGGCGAGGGCGGCACGAACGCGAGGCACACGGCGAGCAGCTCCCAGCCGCGCAGCAGCGAGTCGCGCAGCGGGTTCTCCGTCGTCTGCCGGCACAGCTGCACGTACAGCTCGTCGCGCAGCCTGACGCAGTCACACGCACGTGTACACGCGCACGCACGCGCCCGCGCTGCGTGCACGCCCCTCCCGGAGGATGCGGGCGGGCACGCGCGCGGCCTTGTCACACACCGTGGTTTTCCGGAATTGGAATAGTTATTCAAAAGATATAATCCGTCATAATTTGAACCCCGTTCTGCGTTCAATCGATGCAGCGCTGAAGAAGAACTGACACATTTGGCATTCATATTATACTAACGACCCGCCCCGGCTTCGCATGGGTGCAAACATATAAACTTTGCTCTTGAATCCTATCTAGTTAAAAAACCGCATTCATAGGGACAGACAGACAGCGGGACGACTTTTTTTTATACTATGTAGTAATTAGAATACAAATCTATCCATAATGGGGTTGATATTCCTATATGTTTATATTCTTGTACAATATTTTTGGAATATAATCGTTGTTGTAGTTACTTAATTAAATTAGGAAGATCTAGTTAACTTCCATGCTATTCAACCGATTGTGGATATATTCACACAATACATATATTTTGACGAGGCGATATAAATAACCAGGGAAACACATTATTATCAAATAACAACGAGTGAAGCTACTTACTTTTCATTGGTGAATGTTGCGTGCAAGATGTCCTGCGCCACGGAGTTGAGCGTCATGCCGGGCCTCGCTTTCCTATCGCCCATGTATATCTGAACAAGCCGGAAGAGGTCTATGGCGGCCTTCTTGTGCGCCTTGTCCCAGTCTGCCCCCACCATAGGTGCGCTGATCGAGGACGAAGTCCACGACAGCATGTCGCGAACGGAGGCCTGCAAATTTGATTTCGCTGCAGATTTCCAATTCTTTTAAAATGATCATTTAAGAGTACTGAACACATAAAGCGTTAATATAAATCAACATTTATTTTTGCACTCCGTTTAGTCTCAGAGTCATCAGCAAACCATGTCATCAAGATCAAGCCAGAATGACGGTGGCCAAAGCACGCCTGGGATGGACCCAAATCTTTGGTACAGTTAAGATTAGCCTCGGTAATATTCGAAATCGATTGGCAGATATAAAACCAATTGTAGTAAGAAGACAACACTTGGCGTAACATAGTATCGATAGTCACCTTCCTCCTGAAGATGCCCTTGTTAAAGTTGAGGTTGTCCTTGGCGAAGATCTCGATGTCCTGCTCGGCGGGGACGTGCGCGTGCTGATGCGCGTGCGCGTGCGGCGGCGCGTGCGAGCGCACTGGGCTGTAGAGCGCGCCGCTCGTCGCTCCCCCGCCAGCACCGTCCGCCGCCCCTCCCGCACCCGGTCCGCTGCCCCCGCCCCCCAGGGACGAAGTCTGCTCACGTGGAGGAAATCGTAGATGTTAACAACTTTTATGATTTCCTGGTACATTTTCATAAACTGTTAGTATCATAATTTTCAATTTATGAAATACAAAATGAAGTATATCTTTAAGGCTTTAATGATTCCATTGAAGACACACTTTGTCAACGTGACATCGAATTAACATTCAATCTTTATATATTCGATTAAATTGTAGAGGGTAGTTCGACGATTGTATAGAAATAAGTCCCTCGCCGTGGTGAAAAATCGTGAAATCCATTACCGCAAGCGAGTAAATAGCATAGCTACATATCAAGTTGTATTTATAATTCGGGAACATTTGTTTTACGCCGAAAGAGCGACAAGAAACCAGCATATTCCGTGGTTCAAAAGACCGACGAGTCATTACCGTTGCTAGTCCAAAGTCTTAAAAAAATAGTGCGCGGAAGAAGTGAAACTTCGAGTGCCACGCATTCACTTTCGCTCTGTCTCTTTCTATTCCCCTTCCCCAGGAGCGTCGAACTTGTTGGAAGTCGCAATGCAAGTTTAACTTCAAAAAAAAAAACAGCAAACAGCACCGACCCGATGGATGCCGGGCGAGGGCTGGCGGTCGCGGTCGAAGCCGACGAAGGTGTTGTAGTAGGCGACGCCGTGGTTCATGTACTCGGCGTCGGTGCGGTACGCGTGCGGCAGGTAGACGCCGGAGCCGTCGTCGTCGTCGGGCGTGCGCGCGCCGCCGTCGGACGACTCGTTGTCGGGCTCGTGGCCCGACAGCGAGCGCGACCGCGACCCGGAGCGCGACGAGCCCGACGAGCCGTCCGACTCCGAGCCCGCGCCGGCCGCGTATCGCCCGCGGCCTGTGAAGCGAAGTGACGCTCAATCGAACAGTATACTAGTGCCATGCTTTAAAGTTTCTCGCCCTCGCACTGTGGGAATCGAACCCACGTGTTCGGGATTCGCGCTCTGACGCTCTAGCCTTTTTTAATTACAATTCTTCTTTAATTACATAAACACACCATTACATATAATACATTTTTATATGTTTATACTTATGACTTGGAAAAAATACTCACTGGATAGTTTCGCCTGTTGTATGATGTAATCCTGCAATGGCAACAAATGTTGCATCCCTCGCAAGTCCCAATTGCAGTATAAAGGAGAGCCTCCGCCGTCCTCATCTTCATCTTCGCCGTCCATTTGTGTTTCGTCCATTTCAACCGGTCTTTTGTGCCCTGAAACAAAATAACCGTTTCCATATAGGAGGAGTATAGAGTGTATAGATAGTCTGGTAAATGGTTTATTAAAACCTAAAAAATGGGATATTAACGCTTATGTATATAATAATATGGTTATAAAATATTGTAAAAGCACAAATTTTTGGTTAAATGGTTAGAATACGCGGTATACATATATAAATGTATATGGTATTGATTCGATAACAACGTACTGCCTTAAATTAGGCATACAACATACATTTATGTACGCGAGTGAAATATGCCTATGATGCATAAAATGGCAACGTCGAGCTGTTTGGTTGCATAACTCCGAACAGCTATCCTTATATCATTAATTGTGTATGAAGATTCTTCGGCTTTTGCAAAATCAAACACTATAGGAAGTGTATAAAAGAAACAAATGTATATCGTATTAATTCAAAACTTTTATTAACATGTGTTTTATTAGATAAAAAAAATATATATATATAACTTACGCCTCGATTTAGTGCGATCTCTTATCGCAGTAGCTTTCTCCGTTCTCTCAAATCGCTGGTTATGCTTTTGAACATTAGGCTCCGTTAGTGGTGGCTCAAGGCTCACGCATTTCATTTTGTAGTTAACTGTAAACAAAACTCTATCTTTAGGCCCTTTTATAATAAATATCTATCTTCCAATTTAATGACGGTATTCGTGAAGTAGTAAGTAGTATGATAAATGTAATTTCTATTTATATTGACACTAACAGCCTATTTTTCGATTTTATTTTCTTTTGTCCGATCAATGCCCTAAATTAATGAAGAGAGTGGTGTGATGACTAGTATCTAGAACCTACCGAATTATTTTTTAGCTTTTAGTAAATTGTCCACATTATTTTAATCTTTATTTTCAATAACACTGATTAAGATAAAAAAAATCTCATTTTTATTTTCTAGTTTTTAGTTTTTAATTTTGGTACATACTTCTCATTATTTTTAATTCATTCAATGCCTCATTAATACAAGGTATTTTTTCTGACAAGTTGTTGTCCAAAGACTTAAATCAGGGCCACGTAAGCTTGTCTATGTAATCTAGTCAACACCTTTATTTGATACCCATATTGAAGTGGTTGTGAAAAGACAAATGAACCTGCCATTTTGTTGACGGCCATATTGGATTTTCACTTATTTTCATAGAGAACCCTATTCTGCTAATGAAGCCGTTTTATTTGGTACCCATATTGAGGAAGTAGTGATAAAATATGTAATCTGCCATTTTGTACGGCGGCCATCTTGGGTTTACAATGATACCGAATGTATTAAATTGTATTGTCATCAGAACAAAAGGTGCGTACCAAATTTCAGAAGAATCCGCCAACAGGAAGGGGGTCAAATACTAGATTTGACCCAAACCGGTCATGATACTTATAACCGTTTAAAAAAGACTGACCAGCCGCTATGTTGTCCTGCTCGTTGGCGGATGAGAGTCGCATGAAGTTGTGGTGCGGCTCGTGTGGCGGGGTGCGGTGCTTGCTGCTGCCAGAAGACACCGAAGTCTTGCTCGACGTGTACCTCTCCGGTTCAGCTTGTTGGCGCCTGCTTCGTACACAAACATAACGATATAAATGTGAGGAATAATGTAATTATTTCCAATCAGGAGCTCCATCTATGTTAAACCTTTATTACTCGCATATTCGACCATTAGCGCCGTTTATGTTGTACAAACAAGACAAAACCATTCAGTTCCGACCCAAGGTGCTAACATTTGAATATTACGAGTGCTTTAATGAGCCTTAGCATTAACCTCAACTTTAGTTACTTTTAATCGCAGGTTAGGCGTCTAGGTTGTTTTTAAGAGGGATAAATTATTAAAATTACGGATAAAGGACGTGGTTTCATTCCCGCAGCGGTTTAAAACTTTTCATCCTTCTTTATACAAATTTTAATGTTTCATCTTATTGTAGAAATTAGCACTTTAAAAAGGGATAAATGAGTGGAAATCACAAACAGTATGTCAAAATTCGGATGCACAGTTTCAAAATCATATTTGCGTTCCTCAATACATGCAACAATAAGACTTTAAAAAATTACGGATAGTTTTGAACTTTTCAAATAACTTGGGAAAATATATCATCAATCTGTATTCCTATTTTTCAGAATCCATCCAATATACGGTCGCCCACCACTGGTCTAGGTCACAAAAAAAAAACAATTAATTTATACAGGCCAATATTAAATTCAAACCTTGTGAACTCCCTAGGCTGATGCCAATTGGATGAGACAGCGTTATGGCGCAAGTCCAAACTGGTTTGCCTGAAGGGCTTGTCCACGCTGTACACCGCCTGCTTCTCTGGATACCGGTCCATGCGCTCCAATTCCACTAACCGATCCTTATCCAAATGCCTGAAAAATAACATTTGGTAAATATATTCATTCATTTGCTGATTTTTATGTATAATATAATCAAATCATAATAAGGTATTATATATCAATAGATGTAACTATTAAGTGGGACAAAAGGTAAAATCATCAATGTGTAATACCAGGAGGCCATAAGTGCATAGAAGAAAAAGGGTGTAGGCATAGTTCACCCTTTTGCGAAATCCAGGTTACGTCTGGTGTACCAGGAGGCCATAAGTGCATAGAACAAAAGGGGGTAGGCAGGGTTCATCCAATTGTGATATCCAGGTTACGTCTGGTGTACCAGGAGGCCATAAGTGCATAGAACAAAAGGGGTGTAGGCAGAGTTCACCCTTTTCCAAAATCCAGGTTACGTCTGGTGTAACAGGAAGCCATAAGTTCATAGAACAGAAGGAGGGTAGGTAGGGTTCACCCTTTTGTGATATCCAGGTTGTGTGGTGTACCAGGAGGCCATAAGTACATAGAAAGAAAAGAGGGTAAACAGGTTTCACACTTTAATGATATCCAGGTTACGTCCGGTGCACCAGGATGCCATGAGTGCATAGAGGAAAACCGACCTGTCCGAGAAGCGTTCCCGCGCGTGCCGCGACAGCTGATGGGGGCGCTCCAGGCTGTGCATGAGACGAGTGCCAGCCGCCTCTGTCGCCAGCGATATAGAGGACACCAGCGACGGCCGCGCTGCAGTGGGCTGCGATATCATCAGTAAAGTACAGTAACGGCCGATCGTATGTCCCGCTGTTGGGCAAAGGCCTGCAAGGTTACTAGGGCACAGTCCACCCCACAACCCCAGTACGCATTACCAGATTGACGTACTAGGGTTGTGGGTATATTTGTTAAGTTTGGTTGTGGATATACACCGTGTCTTTACAATCGATGAACACACATATAGAGGATAACTTTTTAAAATTGTATTAAACATTTACTTTCTTTAAACATAAATATTTACAGAGTTAATAAATTATCCAAAACAAAGAATTTTAGAACATCCTTACGTATAAAACTGTAACGTAAAGTTCATTTGTAAAGGCCACAAAGCATATGAATGGGTTGAATGAATTTAAAAGAAACAAAACACTGTTAGAAGGAGAGGCTTGTAATGCGACGCTGTGACAACGAATGAAAAAGTCTCTGAATGTATGAATCAGTCAGTTGTAGTTGTATAGGATGTTACAAATTTTGTTTCCTTTTTACTTAGTTTGTTTAAAAATATTTTTTTTTAATTATGGATTTTTTAACGTTAATATTTTTTTATGATTATTTGCAAGTAGCATTAGAGGTGTGTTCATTTATTGTCACGATGGTAACGACACGCTGTATATTGGGTGTATTTGTAATGTTATACTTCTTTTGGCGAGTTTGAGAAAAATGATGTGTGAATTTTTATAATGCGCGATACCTTAAACCAAAATCAACTTCATGGTGTTACCATGGCAACCAATAACAACTTTTTGACATATATAATTCCAAGTTACCTGAAACCGTTATCAATTTAATTTGATTTTTTAATCTTTCGAAAAATAAGAGTACTGGCACACGGTATAAAAATATTACTTATTTTTCTCTTGTTACGCTAAAAATTTTGTTACCTTCTTATATTCAGACAGGCTTTTCTATTTTTTATTGAACACTTATTATATATAACATGAAAAGATATCCTCTAGTAAAGACTAATCATAATATTATTAATTCTTCCACACTGCCCCACATGAGTATCTACACGCACCCGTGCGTAGCAGGGGCGGATCGATATAGTAATGATGTTCGTTTGTTTGTCTCACGTGTTTACCTTATTTAGCCCCTTAATATAACTATCAATGTTACCTGCAAGAAAGGTGTGGGTTGCGGTTTCTGCAGAGGGCTGCTGGGACTCTGAGGTGAAGCAGAATCGCATGAGGAACCACCGGCAGACTGTTGTTTTAGCTGCATACAATAAAACATATCAAAGTGATACAAACCGTTAGTGTTTAAAATAGTTATGAAATTACGGATCAAAGAAAACTATTTAGGGAAAGCGTTATTTTTTTACCTTGCGTCTAGTCAAAGGCGTGCTCTCGACGGACTTAAAGTATTTCTCGTGCATAGAGTCGTCTGAAGCATCTTTCCTAGGAGATATAAAGCTGCCACTGCGGTTCAAACCTGGAAGCGAATTGACATATCTTATACAATTAAATGCAAATAATATGCATCTAACGTTGTAATTTGGTCGACATATATGTAGACCGACATATAAGTCCTGTTTTACCCTTTGGGTAGGGAAGCGATTCTGAGTAAAATATGCAAACCAAAGGTCTTGAATAAATTTCACTTTGATGGCCTCGGTGCAAAAAGGTGTAGTGTATGTAGTGTGCAGTGCAAGAACCTCTCGTCTAAAAGAACCCATATGAAATAATGACCCGAATGCGGTGACCACTTTTCGGGGTCGTGTGGTTGCGTCACGCCGCCCCTCTTCCTCAGCTGCGGCGTGCAGACGGGAACGCTGCATGCCACTGCGGTCAGCTCCTACAAATGTCGGAACCGGAAATGAGTATCAGGTTTTTTTATGTGATAATGTGGCAAACGATAACTGGCGGCTCACCTGATAAGAAGTGATAACCGCTGCCCATGGACTTTTGCAACACCCATGGGGTTGCAAATCCGTTGACACCTTCAAATGAAGTGGGCCCCGGCTATCTCACTCACCAGACGAAACGCAAAAGTGTAACACTTCTACTTTCGTCGTCTGTGGTCGTGGTACTTAACCGGACGGACCTGCCCATTCGCACAACAGTGAAATCTGTTGCGTGGCCCTACCACTGGGTACCTACGAATGGGCCGTGCTCCACCGGGGAATTTTCGGCTTGACTTTTGCTTTCCGTCACGTAAGCGAAATTAGTTGGAGAAACTTCGGATATTAAGGGTACGAAGGTTATCAATTTGTAAGTTGGGCCGCTGGCTCGTTAAAATAAAATAAAAAATGCCTACTATACCGTAACACAATTATTCTTATATAAATTATAAATAGGCTCTCGGTTAAAAAGCTAATCATTACGATAGCTGTATTACGATCAGTAATTTAATCGGGCTTTAAGCATAAAGTGAAGAACTTTGCTTCTGTAGGTTTCTTCAAATTACAGCGTAAAGAGACGATTGAAGAATTTGAAGTTGATTAAGTTCTTTAAAAGTGGACGGTAGTGAAATGGGCAATACATTACATACAACATGTATATGATGACTCCGTAGGCGTAGTCGCCAATACCTTGGTGACTGCGCCACAAAGCTTCGGCGTCGGGAGTCGTGGGTTCGATTCCGACACGGGACAATTTGTGCGACCCACAGATAGTTTTTTCGCATCTGGGTGTTTGTCAACGTGAAATTCATGTATGTAAAACGTCCTTGCAACACAGGATAGTGTTACCCTAAAGTAAGGGTAAGGTTTAAGCAATATGCGTGCATATGGATTCTAGCTCCACCGTTATCTAAATAAATAAATGCGACAAAAGACCAATTCAATTGAATAAACCATCGTGTAAATGAAATAAAAACTCCAATATGAATTGAATTAATATTTATAACTTTAAAATCTACTTATGCCAGATGCCATGGCAAATATACAATGTTAATTGCGGATATAACGTATTTGTAAATGTTCGGTCAGTTACAAATCGTAGTTGAACGATTTGTATATCCATGCAAACATTATCATATATTGAACAACTTTAATTTTTTTGCATTGCTGCCTACAACATAGTCATGCGCATTAATGTTTTATCGTATTTCAATACCAAACAACTATTATCACAGTATCTTTTCGTTATAGTTAAATTATCAAAAATAACTTAAAATTTTAAACTTAAAATTTTTCTTGATCAAGAAAAATATATGACTTGAATACTGAAAGATACATAAATTGAATATACTTTAATTATAATTTACTCACTGCGACCATTTATCATTCATGCCTGAATGAAAGACTAATAAAATTCGAATTATGTCATTGAACTTTTTCGTTACGACTGTATCGGGCCGAGCTCGCGCCGCGTGACCCTTTTAACCTTTCACAGCCGCTTACACAATATGTTGGTCGCAAAATAAGACAAACGAAATTTGGGTCGACCGATAGTTATTATCGTTTCTGCATTGTCTATTACAGGACGTTGCAATAGAACGGTGCGTTCGATTAGTAGCATCCTCGGAGGTCGGGCTTTCGGGAAACTATCAAACAAGGCTATCGACGACTCTCATAATTGTAATACCAATTATGAAATCACTATTTTAGTTGGAAAAGAATTGCAAATAACCTTACTGTAACATATATACGTTTTATATCTAATAAGTATAGCATATTTTCATAGGTACCGTTTATAACCGAAAGAATGGAGTAAATTAAAAATACAAAAAACGATAAAGGTATAGAGAAAATATGATGTTAAATGCTTCTCCTATTTCGATGGATAAATAAGATAAGAACTATGTTATCCTAATAAATAAGGATAAGTTTAAAGTTTAAATTCAAAATTTAAGTACAACCACATTTGTCATTATATGTATATTTTGATCCGATTCTTTGAAACATAGATGGTTACCATGGTTTATTTTGTATAATGGAAGTAACGCTATCAGTTTGGAGGCTATATAAAGCTTAATCTGGACTGAACAACAGTTGGATTATCTTATTGTCAGTCATATGTATCATATTATAAAACTGTGATCATTGACATAAATAAGAGGGATTTAGGGGAATGATCTTAGTTCCCTCCCTTTAGCTACAGATTTTTCAGTGTTTCTATATACAGTAGTCATTTTCTTATGGAACAAGAAAATATCATTTTAGTGGATACAAATAACGTTATTGTGAGTCTTATTTCTCTCTTTCTACATGGACATGCACTGACTATTATTCTAGTAACTGGGAAGCCATAATTGTGGTGGTTGTGAGTTAGCATTAGGATTCTCATTCACAGTTAGGACTGTACCCTGTGTACTGTGCAGAATTATCTCTGTCTATCGTCTTATGGTTAGAAGGCTTGATCTTGTGCTGTTGCATTGTCGAACTTAACAATTATTATGCAATCTTTTTCAGATTACCTGTTTCCGCCGCTGCTGTGCGCTACTAATACTGCTATCGGATGATCGACCAGAGTCCGTATGACGGCATAGTCCGGTAGATCCGTCTTCGCTCAGCCTCCCGCGACGGCTCTCACCGCTGTTCCTGCACATGTAATGTCAACCAATAATTGGAAATTACCACAACATGAACACCAGATTTCTTTTTTTTATACCCTGTGCAAATGTATTAGTGTTAGACCAATTATTAAAATTGCTTTCACATACTCACATAACTAACAAGATCCTCTACCAGATTTATTATTCATAACTTAAAAAATGTTTGATTAATACCTCTTTTTTTTCTTTTAAGCATATAAATAACTTGATATTATAATGTCATGAAAAACATTAAACAAACATTTATTAATTTAGTAAATATGTTTTGCAACAAAATGTCTCAATTAATCAATGACTTCAAACCAGAAAAATTTTGATTACCTGTGATGATAATGTGATCTTCTAGTTCTCACAGGACTGGTTTGTGTTATGGTGATATTCTTTGCATTACTCGGTGAAAGCTTACTGACACTTGCAGCTGTACTGTTGCCATTGCTACTTATTGGATCAAGCAAGGATGGTACCTACAATCAATACATTATTTTGCATTTTTCACACTATTGCATCATTGGTAAGCCTTGAAATTTAAATACCTGAGGTGCTGCTTGGTTGGTCTGAGTGGATGTTTCCCTTCGCTTTTGTGGATCAGTATTTTGTTTCAATGTTTGTAATTTAGCTAATGGTATAATATCACAGTCTGTTGGCCTGTGCCATACAGTTGTCTGAAATATGAAACTAATTAATACACGGATATTTATATTTTGCCCTCTTAATAAATTGTTCTGAAAAGTATAATAAGTGTTTTGTTATTCTTAAACATTTACATACATTTACATTTACATACCTGTGTGGTAGCATTATAGTAATAAAATCTATGGGTGTTTATATCAAATAGTTCCCACCATTGGGAAGAATCGGTTCGCTTAACTTTTACTCCCTGAAAAGTAAATAATGAAATATACACCCAAAATTTGTTACCAATAAAGAAAATAGGTTAATATTCGTAACATGCAGTTTCTTAGCAACTATTGAATTATGTTTAGTAAAGTAAATCTAGTTAGAAAAAATTATAATCTGTATGTACATGTACACCATAAGTAATGATTTCGGTTTTAGTTTTAGTAATGAATTAAAAAACCTCATAATAATTTGAAATGCTAAAGAGTATGATATATATTTTATTATATTCACAAAATACTTATTGAAGGAAAATTTTACCTCAGGTGGATCCCAAACACATTCGCCTGTGGTTAGGTTAGCATACATATGCTCCTTTGTCTTGGGCTCGATAATTTCCACCCATTCGACCCTAGAATAAAACATTGTAAATCTTAAAACTTCAGTCTAGGCACTTTTGACCGCAGCAACAAATAAATTTGGGGCGTGACATTAGCGATTTCCGTATACTTTATTGATTTTGTGACTTCCAACTGTTATCGGAAGTAACATTTATTTAAAATATGAAAGGCTTTATTATAAAAATACCTTTCTGAAGACATTTTCACGAAAGTAGTTTTAACCGCTTTATAATTTACATATTCATTATTAACAAATAATTATATCCTAATTCCTAAATTACAATCGAGAGTGCAAGAAATCATCCATGTTGAGTGTTTACTTCATTTAACAGATAGAAAATTCCACAGACTATCTAGAATATCACATAACGTATGAAGGATATGTAAGTAGCGTATACGTTAATGTATTTTAAACATGTGTATTTCTTTTATTTAGTATAGATATTCATTTCCTATCAATTAGTTTATACAAAATATTACTACTGTGTGGTACATTCTACGTCACTCGCTTATGTAGTTTTTTGGTGGATGTTTCTGTAATTAAATTTATTGATTATTTTTCTAACCGACTTCAAAAAAGGAGGAGGTTTCTCAATTCGACCGTATATATTTTTATTTATTTTTTATGTGTGTTCGTGGATCGCTTCGTCGTTTATGAACCGATTTTGATGATTTTTTTTTGTCGGAAAGGAAATATCCCAAGGGTGGTACCATGATTAGGAAATCCGGATCTGTTCATGGTATCCACGAGAAATCGAGGGCCATCATTGAATGTTATAGGTATTAACAATGTTTTTTATTTTGTGATTGCAGTCAGTTTTTTTTTTGTTAAAAATTATACTTGTTTTATTATAGAGGCGTGCGCTGTGTGCCGCTGTATATGGTAAAAAAAATATAATTGGTTTAAGACATATTTAAATTATATTAAATTAAGAACAATGGCCCAATGGTTGCTCTCAAGCTGGAGTTAAAATCTAGTATTCATCAATGAAATTGTCAATAATAAATATGTTACACAATTCATTTACTCCATATAAATTTGGGCCCATCACACTCCATTTATGAACTCCGTAGTTTTAATTTACAATTTCACTAATAATTATTTCAAACTGACTATCTAAAATAGCTATTAAAAACAGAGTATTAGAGTAAAGATATAATAAAATATTCATAGGTATATGAAACTTAATCCTAAGTGGGTTTGCGTGGTGAACTTTGTCCTTACACATTCTTTACTCGGATATATTTTATACGCTGTTAGTTAACTTTCTTTATCCCTATATGTAAGTTATTTTAGCTTATTTAACAGGATTGGAACTGAAACTGTATCACACGTTCTTTGATTATATACTTATCAAACGCATTCTTGAAGTTGCAATATCAACCGGATTACTACCTCTATATAGGCTCCACTATTGATTACCCACCAGATAACACTACAAATATAGTTATTGCAACAAAAAACACCATAGTTCGTTCTCGCCACACAACGCGTATACTATGTACACCCGTGTCCAAGGGCGGCTCTCACCGCCCCCAGCCACCGACTCTCACCGACCAACAGCAGCACGCATGAGTACATGCGTGGCCCTACCAACTGTGGAGGGCCTCTAACCCGTGGGTTCTGGCTAGCCCACCGGTTCTCCATTCGATGAAGCTTTAATAGTCTCAGGACTGAAAGCGTTAACGTCAGTTAAAAAAAAACTATTGATTGCAGTGCAAGCCGAGGTTCGATCATCCTTCTGAGGAGCCCTCCGATCGCTTCGCTCCTGTTAGTCGATTTCCTATCTCTCTTCTACAGCGGAGCACCAGCTTTGTTGTTCTTTCCCGAGTCCCTGGATCGTACCAGGTCCCACGGAACTCATCTGACAAAGCCGTCAATGGTTATTAATGCCGCTGAGGCTAACAGCGTACTACACAGTTTCAGTATATATGTATCATCTATGGTACTACACTTCACATTAAACAAAAAAAAAACATCATACAGTAATTCATAAATAAGATATAAACTGCAGTAATTTACGTCATAACAGCATAAAATAAAAATACTTACACATACATTTATATAAATTGACTTAAAAATCTGTGTTGAATGTTTAGATTAGAATTAGAAATAATTTCATGCAAGTTAGTGCACATTTTACTTTTGCTGAATTCATTTTCAAGCAAATCGTTTTTTTTTTAGTAACCTAAAGAAATTAAAAAAGAATTTTTTTTTGTGAGTAATAATCATTGCGTATAATTTTTAATCAGTCTAAAACTCTAAAAAATCAGTCCATTATCCATATCCAACCAAATGTTGCGAACTCTGACTGTCCTTGTAAAATGCCGGCATCCCTTTATTGCTGAATCATTTATTAGTAAAAATAACAGGAGTTTCTCCAGAGTAAGTGGAGTAGCTACTTTTCCGTCTAAAAACTCTAAAAGATTACAATCGACGAAAGTAGTTAATGGTCAGTACCAACTTGAAGTGATGGTAATTTAAACATAGAATAGGTTAGATATTTTCTTTCATCTTTTTGGTACGTGTCGTGTAATAAGTGCTTTATTTCTAGCAATGGAAGACAAATCAAACTTTTTGCTGCTAAATAATCAGCGATTCGTAGAACTAGATAGCTCACAAGCTTTCCACAACTTAACCAAAAAAGGAAAAACTTTATGCTCACTACCTGAGCCAAGTAAGTAATTAGTTTCAGTATAATAAGTTAAGTTAAAGAATTTTCATGTAACCGATGGTATTTTCAATAATTTCTTATTGGTAACTATAAATAAACAAATATCTTTGATATTGCTTTAATATCCGCCTGCACGCGTAGATGGTCGTGACAGGGCAGAAGGTATAGGGAGAGGGTTGAACCCCCATGTAAGGTGGGGAGTGGTGCGAAAAGGTGTTAGAATCAAGAAAGTTAGAAAGGGGGGAGAATAATCATCCCTCAGTTCTGGAGTTCAATGGACAACATTCTAACCAAAATTGACCCAGTATGCTGGTGTCAACAGTTTTATACCCACTTGAACTAAAGACATAAAACGAAAGCGTAAATTATTTTTTTATTCCGCAGGATAAACATAGTTTATGACCTGTATTAGTGATAAAAATATATCTTTATATTTTTTGTCTCTTCACATATTATGCTCCCACAGTGGTCACTAAAATCATTTAGATATTTTAATATATCAATATTTTTTTCTTTCTTTCAAATTCCTCTGAATTAGGCTGTCAACCATAATAATGTTATCAAAAAATCGAAGCAACTTGAAAGACCATTAAAAATATAATAACATTGGTTATATTTGCTTTCTGTAACATATACAATTTTCCTTTAGAACGAAACAATATTGTTGATTACCAGTCGTATGAAAGTTAAATATATAATTACTCCAAAACTATAACTATCTGCATAAATACCTTCTAGTATTTACTTCAATGGGCTGCTACTACTATACAAATTAAAATTATAATGAAAATTGTTCGGGCGGATACTAAAGCATATCTTTAAGTAGAGTAACTTGCTCCACTTATTTATTATAATTTTTATAATAACCCTTTCATCAAACAGGCAGCTTGGAATGGTGGACTTATAGTTCTTCTGCAGACTAGTCCTGAATCTCCAAAGATATTTTCATTGCTCCATAGAATTTTTGTAGGAGAACCCCTGGATAAGCTAAAAGAATCTGCTCTTAAAGCAGGTGTGTCCGAAGATGATTTTCAGGTAAATTTGGTATGCCTTGGTTTCAGAATATTATTACAATATGACATCATCATTTTTTAAAACTTCATACACTTCAGCTAGTGTTAAAGACTTATTAAACCCTATATAAAAGTATGAAAACCTTCTATTCATATGAATTTTATTATGTTATATAAATACTTTACAGCGTTTGTGGTCATGAAACAATATGTTTCAACTAAACATTTTGTGCAGATGCATAATATCATGTGCAAAAGGTGTGTCGATACCAGAGATTTTTTAATTTTTAAATGACTAAATATTTAAGAGTAGTGCATACATAAAAAGTCCAAGCATTAGTAGAAAAACATTGATTTTCATTTATGTCACTAATATTTTTTCTCTGTATGATTTTTCATTTTAATTTTATATCTTATATGTAATAAATCTTTTCTATTGGATTAACTTTCGCAATTATTTCATATTTTAAAGTTTATTAATTTTAGGCATTCCTGGTATATGCTGGAGGTTTGTTTGCTAATAACGGAAACTACAAAGGTTTCGGTGATACAAAATTCATTCCAAATCTATCTAAAGAAACATTTGAACTTATTGTGAAATCTTCAAAGGCCTATGAGAATGATAATACTCATATTACAAAGTTATGGAAAAAAGTTCAGAATCCTATATACAGCCTGCAGCCAAGACTAACTAGTTTAGGTTTGGCGAACAAGGTTTGATAAATATTTTTTATATTACAAATATTTCATTTATAAAGAAATACTAATTTCTCATTACATTATATATTTTATATATTATTGTTTTATTTCCTCATTTTAAGAAAAGAGTTAAATATATAACATGATATTTTAGGGAGTAACTACATATTTCTCTAGCAACTGTACAGAAGAGGATTCAAACCTGGTCAATGATTGGATGAAGACAAAGCGGATTGAGGCATACATCTGTCGAACATTTAAAACAACTGCTGATGATGGATGTAAGAACCAGTTTGAGACTAAGTAATGTTGATGTAAAGTGAAAGTTGTATCTTTCCACTATTAATCACTACACTATATATATATAGGAGAGGATTAAATATGGTACTGGTAATAATGATAACATTATGTCCCTTTGTAACCAGTAATTATGGGAAAAAATAGTTTAGTTATTTATATTTTAAATAACTAAAATTATAAAATAAATTAATTATAAATTTTAGAATTATAAAATTTTAGCTTATATGCTTGTTTTTTGTGATTGTTTAAAAACTTTGATTAAACATAATAATATATCATCACTATTCTTCCTGTCCTTATCCCACAGAAGTGAGATCAGTACAACATCAAGTTGCTAAAAAACCTAACTAGGTTTTTTATGACCTGTCTGTCTGTCACTGAAGTAGATATGTTTTCCGTAATTGATTTGCTACACAAAGCACATTAATGGTTATAAACACCTCAACCTTTTGTCTAATTTTTGAATTTTATTCTTTGTAGTATTAATTAACCTTTGCTTTTCAACAAAATTAACATATGAGCTTGTACAGACTAACAACTGTTGCTTCAACCTGCTCTTGATATAATAAAGTTATTTTGATTTTGCAGTACCTCTGTACACTATTCACTTGGCGAGTGTCAAATCTTCACCTAAACCACCACTAACAATGGACAAAGAGAAATATAAGAATGCATATTTCCAAGTGACCCGTGGAGACTATTCTGCTTTGCTGAAACTTGCCAGTGACCATCTTGCCAATGCTAAGAAGCATGCCGCAAATGAAAATGAAATGAAAATGCTGGAGCACTACATCAATAGCTTTGTGGAAGGAGATTTGAATGAGCACAAGGAAGGCAGCCGATTTTGGATTAAAGATAAGGGACCAATCATCGAAACGTGAGACTTTCACAATTCTACTCAATAACCAATTGTATCAACTTATATATTGATGGAGCCATAAAACTAAAATTGTAATTGGAATTGTATGTTGTTCATGGATGATGTATCGCTTAATTTGTGAACAGATTTGAATTTATTTAGTAATTTCAGAGTAAACTGTATCTTATGTAATGTATTACTGTTTTTGGAATTGTTTGAGTATTGCAACAGCTTCTTAAATAATTCTGGAATAATTACACTGTTGTTTTTTTTTTAAGCTAAAGTATTTCAAATCGGATTTCATACAAAGGATGATGATAGTCTTTGCCTGATTTCCTAATATGTTTTTGCCAAATTATTAAAAAAAATTACCTTACCTTGAATTACTTCATGGCTCCTACATATGTATTTTAGATATAAAAGCCTGAGATTCAATGAATTTTTTACATATCTACATTAATTTATCATTATTTTGTACTCAAAAGGCCTGTTTCAATATTCTCTATCTACAGATAGATTTGGTTACTGGAGATAGAATTTTTGACATATGTATTATATATTAGGAGCTAATGTCAAACAGCTATTGTTAGTAACCAAATCTATCTGTAGGCAGAATATTGACAGAAACAATTTATAAGCCAATAGTCAACATGGGTTGCAGATACCAGGGTTTCATAGAGACGTACCGCGACCCCAGCGGGCAGAGAGGCGAGTTCGAGGGCTTTGTAGCAATGGTAAATAAGGAAATGTCCAAGAAGTTCGGCAATCTGGTGGACGGGGCGGAGCGCTTCATCAAGCTCCTACCATGGGGGCGGGATTTAGAGAAGGACACGTTCCTGAGGCCGGATTTCACCAGCTTGGACGTTTTGACGTTTTCCGGCAGCGGCATACCGGCTGGCATCAATATTCCTAATTGTAAAACATTATCTTTTATTATAATTTGGATAATAATAGCCTTTATTTTAAATAAGATAATAAATCGTGTATTGTACAATAATGAGAGAAACACAAATAGCTTAGGAGAAACTCAATTTATGCTGCGGTTGGCATATATTCTCCTATAAAAAAAACAGATCTGGAGCAACTATCAAAAGGTCATACAAAACCTAGGCCAGGGCGGGAATCGAACCTTAGACCCGCGGCCCTGAAATCTATCATGCAAAACGCCATTGATCATCTTACGCAAAATTTATTTCTGTCGACCAATGAACCACTTTTCTCTAACACAATGCAACAATGAAATAATTTTATTCCTCTCCGATAGACGATGAGATCCGCCAAAACGAAGGTTTCAAGAACGTGTCCCTTGGAAACGTGATACCGGCCGCTTACAAGGAGTCCGTTATTCCGTTTTTATCTGAAGAGGACAAGCGGCTGCTCGAAAAGTATAGGGTCGCATCATTCGAGGTGCGTATCTTGATATCACTACATTCAATTTAAACTAATGTAGGTATCTCTTCAAAATAAAGATTTTTTTTTATAAAAAAAGAATATTTTTACACTGTTTTTGATGTAGTTTGTTAACCTTACATTAGTTTTAAAGGTGCATTTGTTTAAAACTAGTGTTGTGATACCGGTATATTATTTTATAAAGTCTATGTTAATGCTATTTTTTTTTAAATGAGCAATCTCTTGTGATTGTTTAAGTCTAGGCATAAAAAATACACAAAACAAGTGCTTTTAAAATGTGGTGCTGGAGACGAATGCTAAAGATACCATGGACAGCCATGAGGACAAACACGTCAATTTTACAAGAGAAAATTTTATAATTTACTTTTCCTTCGTGTTTTCGCATTCTCCTTCTCCATAAGTATTTGTGGATAAGGACCTAAAGATGAAAATGCTACTGTCAGTCCTAGAATATATATATACCTACCTAAATATACCTTTTCTACGCATTTAGCATCTGTTCTGGGTGGACATAAAAAGGTTCCTTTTAGATTGGTGCCTGTAATTTGTTAAATTTAACAGGTACAAGTCGGTCTTCACGAGCTCTTGGGCCACGGCAGCGGGAAACTGCTGCGTCAGAACGCAGACGGTAGCTTCAACTTCGACAAGGAGAAGGTCAAAAACCCACTCACTGGTGAGTAATATCAGTATTTGTGTTGTCGGCATCTGAAAATTAATCATTAATTAAGTGGAATTTTTATATACTAAAACGCAATTTAAACCTATTTTAACTTTAAATCTAACATTTGAAGCATTGGGAGTTAAGACCAATAATGAATGTGCTACTATTTTTATAATAGTTTCATTTAATATTGCCCAGTACTAGCATAGATGCATTAAATAATTTTTATTTTTTTTATTTTACGTGGAAGGGGTTGGGTAGGAAGTACCAACAACCACTGCGACCTAGAAAGATCTTTTGTAGTCTACCCTTCGAAAAGATAGCCCTCTTACTGTACAATAACATTATCCTATGTAAGGATGTTTTACATGCATAAATTTCACATGGATAAAACATCTGAAACAATTATCCGTGGGTCACAGAAATAGCAGGCTCGTTTAGGAATCGAACCCATGGCCAAGCCGAGTCATCGGAAATGTGAATTGAAATAATTACGATTTACCGTATTTTTCGTCATGCGAAGCCTCTACATGAGCCACTTCACCTGTTTCAGGAAAGCAAATCGAGTCCTGGTACACGGAGGGTGAGACATACGACAGCAAGTTCACAACGCTGGGCTCCGCCTTCGAGGAGTGCCGAGCGGAGGCGGTCGGCCTATACCTGTCCCTGCAGCCGGAGATAATTAAGTGGGCATTCTACCAGCACACTTAACTGTAGTAGGGGTGGCTGATCGGATTCTAAGTGATAAATAACCGCCGCATCTGCAGCACCCGTAGGGTTGCAGATCTATTGCCACTTAATAAAGTGGACCCCGGTTACCTTACTCACCATACTAAACGCAGAAACATATCACTTGCACTTCACGCTGGTCTTCTATGAGGTTGTGGTACATCCCCAAAAAAAGCTATTATGCAAAAATTATTATATGTTTAAAGAATTACTTGGATATCTAAATGATTATTTGAATGCTTAAAAATTTTTATCACAGTCTCACTCAGGGAATTGGATAATAATTTCCGATGTTATTATTTAATTCATTTATTTGCGAATTTCAGTCTATAACACCTTCCAATAACATATTCGCCATAGAATAGATTATAATTTAAAGTTAAGGGCTGGTTGAAGTTTCTGAAGGTCGAGTCCTTAATTATAATGATATGGTATAGATATAAATTTTTATTTTTATTTAAGACATTGTTAATAAATTTTTATTGTATTTTAGTTGCCATTTATTATTTTTGATGTTTCCAGAATTTTCGGTTACGAAGGTCAGGAGGCTGAAGATGTAACCTACGTTAACTGGCTGAGCTTACTTTGGAATGGCGTAGCAAAAGCAACCGAGATGTATCAACCATCAACGAAATCTTGGTTACAGGTATACACATTTACTAGTAGTGTTGTAGTTGTAGTGTCGGGGCGCTCGCCTTTAATTCGATATACTCGCCTTTAATTCGATATACTCGCCTTTAATTCGATATACTCGCCTTTAATTCGATATACTCGCCTTTAATTCGATATACTCGCCTTTAATTCGAGTTCGATTCCTTGAAATTGTTAGTCTTAAATGCCGATTTATCACGTGCTCTGCCGTGAAGGTTTTTGTAGGTTTTTGTAAGGATTGTGAGGAAACCTGCATATTTTCGAAATAAACACAAGATAAAATTCGAAGATATGTGAAGTCCGCCAATCCGCAGTGGGGCCGCGTGGTGGACTATGCACTGATACCCTCTGTACAGAGGAGGCCTTTGCTGAGCTATCGCGACTCGTTGAACGTTATCACGCTGTGAACGTAGATCTTATTCACTTTGTGGTCTACTGGTTTACTTCCGACAGGCGCACGCGCGGGCCCGTTTCGTGCTGATGAGGCTGCTGCAGCTGGAGGGCGATGGTCTACTGGAGGTGCAGGAGCCAGTTCCTGAGAAAGACCTTCTCCTCACCCTCGACCGCCAACGACTCGCCACGGACGGAAAGAGGATCATTGGTAGGAACCCTTACCCTGAAATCTTATCTAAGATCAATTCTATTTTTCCAAGGAACAATAGTAGGTTTTGAAACAAAAAAGCCTTTTTTTACCTGTTTGTCTCACAGACATTGGGCAACACTCACACCTCTTTCGAATGATATCATCCTGTAATGGTATAGGATCGCTTAACATCAGGCTTAAATCCTATAGATACCTCTATTTTATTCTCTCGCGTGTTATCCTATATATGGTGTATGTGGTTCTGTTTTTATTGTCGTTATTCGCAACGGTGCTACAGAAGTGTTCGCTTGGAAACAGGCGAGTTCCTGGTGAAGCTGCAGACGCTGAAGGCGACGGGTGACGCGGCGGCGGCGGAGCGCCTCTTCGATCGCTACAGCCGCCTGGACGAGCCGTGGGCCCGTTGGAGGGACATCGTCATGCTGCACAAGCAGCCGCGCAACATATTCGTACAGCCCAACACTGCGCTCAAAGGTACCATATTCCCTTGTACACCAAATGTGATGGACAGGGATAGTTATTAATGTTTACATTTTTATAATGCTGATCTCTAAACTTGATGAAACTTTAAAATTTGTAGAAAAAATTTAAGAAAGGAATTTCTTCGCTGCGGAAATGAAATCTTATTTCTCTTTATTCGTCGAAATAGCAAATATACACTTCATCTATCAATAGTAAGTTTTTTAAATCTACCACAGTTTTGTTATGGGTTCCACTGATGGAGAAGAAACAGACGAAAGAAACTCCGTATTTTTTTTTTCTAAACATGAATACATTTATATTTTTTTTTGCGGGAATCACCTTGACTACTTCTTGGCGGAGTTGCTAAGTTATTGGCTTCTTGGCGGAGTCGTGGTTCCGATTCCCACAAAGGACAACTATTTGTGCAACCTAAATTTTTTCGGATCTTGGGTGAATTGCCACGTGAAATTTATGTATATAAATAGCAACACAGGACAATTTTATCCTACAGCAAGGGTAGTTTTGTAAAATAATAAAAAAAAATCCAATAGACGGTGAAGTGGAGCTGAAACGCTACCCGGCCAGCGCGGAGGGCATGGTGACCTCCTGGGTAGAGCGTTTCCCCACCACGGAAGTAGACGACGAACTGGAGAAGCTCGCCGAAGCGGACAGCAAGTACTTCGAAGAACTAGAGCGCCTCGCCGCGGCTTGACGCCGCCGAAGGCTAATGTCTATCCGCACTTGAATTTTGTATATGAAATTGAAATAAATTATATTTCTACAGTATAATTTTCTGCGAGTCCTTTTATTGTCGAAATATAGTTCAATTAAGTGTCTACGGCGTGTGATTATCAACAGAGATGAAATCACTGCTTCCCATCAATTGAGATTGCTTTGTGACCGAGGTAAAAATGAGCTTGTGTACTGACGTAAAAGTTGTGCTCACAGAGGCACATCTGTTATGATTTCTTAAGGTTTTGTTTAATATACATATAAGAAATAACCTATTTATTGTCCAGAGTAATCTCGAGATAGTGGTTAATCAAATGAAATAAATTTTTTTACACATTATTTTAAATGTGGTAGGGCCACGCCACAGTTCGTTGTTCTGTTGCATGAATGGGCAAGTTCGTCCGGGGAAGAGCCAAGACCAAGACCTCACAGAAGACCGGCTTTAATGGAAGTGTTATACTTCTGCGTTTCAAGTGAAGTAGCCGAGGCTTATTTTATATAACGGTGGCAATGCATTTGCAAACCTAAGGGTGTTGCAAATGTACATGGACGTCGGTTATTACTTAACTTCAGGTAAACCGCCAGCTCGTTCGCCACTTTTTCAGATTAAAAAAAATATTTCCCACGTGTTTATAATATCGAATGAAAAAAGGGTAAGGTGAGCTCAAGAAAAAACAAAAAATGCTTTCAACTATATAATTTATTCACATTCAATACAAAACGCGTGTGATAGCAATTTTAATATTCATCTTAAAAAATCACAGTACAGCTTAACCATGACTAACAAAAGAAATATTAACAATCATCACACACTAATAAATAGAATCAATCTAATAATAAAATTAATAAATAGATTCGAGACGAAAATTAATAAACATAGGATGAAATGGTTCCGCATTGTTGCGTTGTCAATGTCTAAAAAAACTAGCTGTACTCTGTTGGGAATCTTGGGAAGTGGTTATGGCAACGATCGAGGAAAATTAATTAAAACACAAAACGTTCGTTGATATAGTTAATACCTAAAAGTTCTTAAACACATCATTCTGTAAATACAAATTATGTACTAAGAAAATCTCCAACTAAGCACCATTCTATTCGATAACTGTTACAGCGTGACTTAGCGTTGAATACTATATATGATTATTATAAATATTAAAACTTAATATGACTAAGATAGCATAAGTCAATTACGATTACTAATAGTTAAAGTAATGAGTAAAAACATATTTGTGCATGCACACAAAATTCGTGTCACCGTTTCTGTTGCAGTAAAATGGATTATTTATCAAATCCCCGTTGCATATTATTGTACAAAGGCACATAAGATTAAATTTGCGTAAACATATTATTAAGAAGGGATATTGATTATTCGTAAAACATTTCAACATTATCGTGAATTGTTTTTTTTTTGTTAATTACGCAATTCCTCGTTTTCCTATGTTAGAAAATATTCTTTACCTGATATAGAAACTCAGCTCGAAATTTGAGATAATAAACTTTTATATAATCTACATGTGTTTATGAGACACTTCAGTTATGCAGGTCTAATTTGATGCAATATCGTCGAAGCGGTCGATAAATTCGAGTAAAACTTTTATGCTTCTCCAGTGTCTTAAGTTACCTTGTTAGTGTTTTAAACTATCACGTGAAATGCATACAGCTACACGGCAAGAATATACATAAATCAAATGTTTAAACAGCAAAAAGCGCATTTATTGTATGATTATTGAATGGAAAATACGTTATGGAAGATTCGGAGAACTATAAAACTATAATCAATAAATAAATTATGCGTCCTTAAGGTCCTTTCAAAATGCTAGATTTAATCACAAACTGTTATTGATTTTTTAATCGATGAAAACTTAGTAGCGTCTCTCAGTCAATTTTCTCAGAGCATTCTGCACTGTCGCCTTCGCCTTTAGGTGGGACATTGGATCTGAAATTGCACGTTAATTTAAATTAATATTTATTCATATATTTATACGACTACCGTCAATTTTTTTTTCATGAATTATTCATTTACTTACAACCGTAACGCTTAATCTCTTACAGCCGTTAATAGTTGTGGCAATTCAGTAAATGAGATTCTGTGATAGAAAACTGTATAAAAACAATAATTATATAAATTATAAAATTATACTATTTGCAAATTAATATTGCTTGTCAAATTCACTAAAAATAAAAAATAAAACATCTAAAAAAACTATACATCATTAAAACCTTTTGTATTAGTGCAGTAAAATTTTAATCGAAAGCGTGAAACGTGCAAAGAGTAAAAAAATCTTTAATTTTGGGAAAGTTATTTTAATTATTTACGTAACATGTAAGTATGTATATTATGAAGTATACACACCTTGGCAGTGAGTCCTCAGAATCTGGCTTCCTTGTCACGCTGATTGTGATCTTTCTGTTCCTTATTTTGTCCATGATGTTTTCAGGGCTCGGTTCTTTCTCGCTCTCTTTTAATATGATAGCGGAATTTCTGGTTCTCTTTGGTCTATATGTAGCATAGTTTCCCGATGTGAACAAAGAATTGGTTCTATTGTATTTGACTGGATCCCTCAGATGATTCAAACTATGGTCTTCGCTACCATCCGAATTTTCTAAGAGTGATTTCGTTCTAGAGTATCGGTGGGTTCCATACGTTCCAGATTGATCGTAATCTAAGTAACTTCTGCCTGAAAACTTCCTAAAATCGTTGCGGTCGAGGGATCGATACGTATCAACTTTATCGTTCAGCCCATCATATCTTAAACTGCTCCTGTTGCTCGGAAGATCGGAGAGTAGGGATCTGTAGCGGTCCGTTGACGGCGACAAGTCTGAAGCAACAGAATAACCAGGCGACAGGTCGTAATGCAGCGGAGAAGTCGGTGAGACGTCGTATTTGGACTCGGATGGCTGCGAGTGTAGTCTCGCCACTGGGTCGTACTCAGTAGCACCGGGGCCTACTAAACTGCTTTTCCGTCTTTGTTTCTTTTCGTTAAACCTAGAATAGAAACTTTTCCTCCGTATTCTGTCGACGATGTCTTCTTTCTCTGGACTAATGGAGTCATTATTACGTGTAGATCTAAGGAAGGTGCCTCCGGTACGTGTGTCGATGGACTTCCCTGGAACCTTAACTTCCACACTGTGCTCGGACTTAACGTCAGAATTTGAATAAACAGACCTACTTCTGGAACGACTGCGATCATGTGCATTATTTGTATCAATTTTGTTATAGCCTTCTATCGTGCCGTTCTTTTCGAAATTATTTTTCTTTTCACTTTCATTATCACCTGAGGAGGCATTCATAATTTGCGGTTCTATCACAGGATTTGTAGGAACTATTTTTTTTACTCTTGGCAACCTGGAGAAATCTAGTTTTAATGTATTTCTTAAATTTTTAGGTTCACTTTCTTTTTTAAGCGCCGGCTGCTCTTCATTTTGTAAGCAACTGACAACAGAAATGCCATCACTTGCTGCTTTACTACATTTATTTTTGATACCATTTAGCAACAACGACGTTGGTCTTCTCGGTTTCTCTCTATCGATTTCTGAATTTGTTTCCGTCTCAATATTCCGCTCAACATATGTATCCTCACTAATATTATTTTTTTCGCACAAAGAATTTTCAACCAATGGCTTCACGTTTTTTTCTTTCGGCTCGAATTTCTTAAAGAGACCTAAAACCTTAGAAACAGTTGTTTTATTTTGATTCGCGTTATGACAGTCTAAAGCAGCAACATCAGTGAGAGTAACCGCCCGTTTGATAAGATGCGATTCGGTGGGAGGATCTGTACTTACAGGAACAGACTGCTCTCGCTGCAATCTATTTAATTTTAAATTGTCTTTCTTAGAATCCTTCCGAACCATGCTATTTTGAGATGACTTTTCAGGAGAACTTGACTTTGAAGACGCTAATTTCTCTAACTTATGACCTATAGACTGCAAAACAGATTTCTTTTTTACTGTCGTTGAAGGTTTAGAACTATCATCAGTGGATTTTTCTTTAGTTTTTTTTATAACTTTCTTTTTATCAGATGCATTATTTACATCTGTTATATCTTGAACCAAATCAGTCTTAGATTTTGATGAGACCTTTTTAATAATTTTCTTTTTAACAGTTTTTTTATTAGTCGCCTCACTATCTGACTTTTTACTCACGTCTGTTTTATTAGCACTGTCTGCCGATGTAGATTCTTTTTTGCCATTTTCAACAATTATGCCATTTTCGCTTTGAGTAACATTTTCGTTTTTGGTTTCAGTTTTTTCATGCTCTTTAATGATTTTATATTTTTTCAATACTAGTGTTGGGGTCGCATCTGTTTTATCTTCCAATTTTTGTTCAGAAGTATCTGGATTTCTAATAGATTCGGGTTTCATTACTGCACTCAATTTCTTTTTAGGCAAAGTAAAACTAAAACTAACTTCAACGTCATTTTCATGTTCATTATTACTGGTTTCTTCTTTTGTTAATAAGGGAGATTTTATTTCGTCTTTCTTGCTATTTCGATTAGCGTATATCTTGTCAGGTGATGGGCTGCTGGCAGGATAGCTCTTTGGCCGCATTAATTTAGAATCTCTCGATAATTTCTTATCTTCACATTCGCGGTTCTTAACTTCATTTTTTTCGGATGATTGAACTTTGTTTGTCTCATCGAATGTATTAAAGTTCTTTATAGGGTAACTTTTTGGTCTAGCCATTTTTGATTCTTTGCTCTGTAATTTCTCGTCTACAGAATAACTTTTATTTTCCTTAGTTCTGGTATCGTTTGCAGTTGCTGTTTTTACAGACTCTTTTATCGTTAATGAAGTGTCTAAATTTGTTTCCTTAATGTTGTCTAAAATTGGAAAAAATGGCGTAGTTGATCTGCTACGTTCTCTACATAACACATTATTTACTGGCGATAAGCATTTACGAAGATAAGTTGATTCGTCCTTGTACGATGACTGTGTGTCAGTAACATCCACGGGACTTTTAGCGGTATCCAATGATTTATTTTTCTTTTCTCTAATTTCTTTAAGAATTTTTTGGGTTTCAAGTTCCTTTTCTTTTTTGTGTTTAGCGTACAGGCTTTCATCCGGAGGAGTATCGAAAAAGTCTGATCTAAGGAATCTTGAAATGCGTTTTCTAGGTTGATCTCCGGCTAATCTCATCGAATGGCGTCTAAATCCTAAGCCTGACGTGTTCGATAGGGGAGACGTACCATATGCTGCTATATAGCTCGGTTCAGATAATATGCTACCACAGTCAGAGGAATAGGATTCGTCTAAAGATAAATGTCTCTCGGGCGTTAAATATTTGCTAAGCAGAGGACGATCTGGTGTATCACGTACACTACTGCTCCTAGACTGAGTTGGCTCCTTCTCAGTAAGTTTAGAAGATAAGTCACTTTCGGCTGGATCATTTATAGAAGCTGATGATGTAGATTCCCGAGACAACGCTGAATTTCGCTTGAGCCGCGGTAACGTGCAGAACTGTGACACGTGCGCTGCGGCCAAATCCATTTCTCCTTCTTTACGGACATTTCCGTCTTTGTGTTTTTTCTTTACAATTAAAGAATCTTCGACATCTTTCGTAGAAGCGCTCGTGGTTGTGTACCCTGTCCGTTCGGCGGGTGTTGGTTCCTTTGTGTTCTCCGTGGAGGTGTCGTCATCGACGGATTTGACCGAGTGTCCGCGCAGGTAGCGGCGGTGGACGCCCTTCGCTTCGGCGGCGTCCACCTCGTTGGTATCGCCGTTGGTCTGCCGCACTTGCGTGTCATTCTCGCCGCTCGTGCGGGCGTCAGCGTTGTCGCGTGGGGGGGCGGGTTCGGCGTCGGCGGCGGACGAGGCGAGCTGTTCGAGTATTGAGTCCGCGTCGGTGGGCTCGTCGCTCGACTTGGAGGCGGAGTGGGCGCGCGCGGGGCGGGGCGCGGGCGCGGGGGGCGCCGCGTGCAGCGAGAGCGTGCGGCGCAAGGAGCGGGCGGCGGCGGGCGGCAGGTGGGCGAGCAGCTGCTGCTGGAGCCGCCTCGACAGCGCCGGCGTCAGCCCCGAGAGCGCGCGCATCTCCCTCTCCGAGAACTCTATCGAGCTTAAGTCCAAATCCGACAGATCCAATCCGCTTTCGCTTTCTTTTTGCTGTTGCTGTTGTTGCTGCTGCTGATGCTGCTGTGCCTTTGACGTATGGTGCTTCTTGCCGGTTCTCTTAATGCTACCTGAAACGGAACCCAAATGGACACACTGTTTCGATCATGCATTACGCACGCACGGCATGGTGTATTTACAGTGATGGCTCATGTTACTGAACAGTTAACGCTGTCACGAATTACAGTGACAGATTGACTGTCATGTTCGTAGCGGATGTTATAGGCTAGATTGCCGTAAATCTTGTTCTTGTATAAAATTAAATATAGAATTTACATAGTAAATCGTTATTAGATAAAACATCGATGCAATGGGTTAAAAGTTAATTTGAAACAGACTAAAGAGTTCTAATCGATTAAGGTCAAACGGAAAGCTCAGATATGCAAAACAAAACACAAGAGTATGCAATAAAATGTTGCTTTTTGAGGAATATAAAAAAATCAATTTTACCAGAACGCAAATGAACTGCATCAGCAATGTATACCGCATTATAAAGGCATCTCTATTCTGGTAAACAGCCGCAGCGCGCTGTGCGCAACACAAAACACATAAATGAAGAAATAAACATGGTTTCTGTACCTATTCCTGTGTGGCGTTTGTGGCGGGTTTGTGGTTGGCGCTGTTGCCGCTGTGAAGTGAAGATTTGGTCGGAGCATGCAGTGTAACGCGCAACCCAACTGCAACCACACCAACACAACCTCACTACCGCTGCTCAGCCGCCCGTGGATTGCAAACCTCCCTTCGCACGCACGCCCCCCCGCCCCCCTCCCGCCCCTAACTACCACGCGCTGCCCCAACGGCCTGGCTGCAGGTAAGTTTCCCCAGAACCCTCGGCCGTTACGTGCACGTCCCACACAAGACGTAAAGAACTGCACGCTTTACCGCGAGTGTCCCCAACGTACACTTACGAACACAACGAGTGCTACCACATCCACTATCTACGTTTATGCCATGTCTCACTTTGCAAACAAATTAACTGACATTCGATAAATTTAACTGTTCAAATTCCAAAAAGAGTAAACAAGATAATAAAAAAAAATAACGATATTGTCAAACTGAATACTATCTATCGGATTTTACGGCATTGCCACAGATAATAAGAAAATGAAATGCCTTTCGTTCCCAACTCATGCATTTTACTACTGTGATAAAAAAAAATATGATTCTATAACAATGGAGAGCAACGCAACATTTTCCTGCTAGTGTTAGCGGGTAGGGGAAAGTCAACACCTGCACAAAGAATGCAATTTGTAAACAGTATAACACTACAATGCGGAGAAAAACGTTAAAAATATTAATATTGTTAATCTCTTAGAGAGAGAAAAAAAAAAACACGAACAAATACATACCTAACAGACCATGTGCACGCGGAATCGTGTGGAATAGTCTGTTAGGCATGTTCGGGTGTTAGAGAAAGTCAAACCGTCGGTGACGGTAGAAAACGTCACTAGTATCTTTGCACGTGAACGATTCTAACGCGGCGTCCCTCGCGGTATATGGTATGGGTCGATAGTTAATTCATTTGTTAAGTGGAAGCCAGCTTCTTGTGAGTGTCGCCGGACGTGCGCTAACTACTGCGTAGCTTTGATGGTGTGCGTGTTCATGCCACCGTGTTCGTTTCCAGCGGTTCGAGATCTTGAAAGAGTTCCGAATCATCCTTGAATCAATCGTCTTTGAAGATGTCAATAGTATTAAAAAACAATCATGCGTCGCGTTCATATATTATTATTTGTAAACAATTACTTGAGGATTGATTTTATATTGTTTTTTTTATTATTTATAAATGTTAAATATATTTAAATATAATTAAAAAATGGAATATGACATAAAAAATCTTATTTCAATGTATTGATTTTTCTTACATGCCAATAATTATAAAAAGTTTATAATATCCAAAAGAAAACAATACATAGCTTTACATTAGTTATTAAAATTATACTTTGCATAAAAAATATATTTGCTTAGCTAAAACTTTTTGTGTTTAATTATTAAAATTCAAATAGAATAATATTTTTGAAATTTGAAGATATCTGGACCTAGAATTAAATCTCAAATACAAGCCACACTTAAATTTGCACATCTAACAAAAAAAAAACAGCTATGAATGCTCGAATATAAATATTATTTTATTTTTGAAATCTTGAGTTAAAGCTGGCCAGGCTAGCTGTTAAATTATTAAGCGTTATGAGTATATCCAAATATGTATTTTATTGTTTTTACTTTTAAAATGTGTAAAACAATGTGTTCCTTCCAGGATTCCTAATTAAGGGAATTATTACATACAGATAAAATAATAAATATTTATATTTTTTTAAAACTAATATTTAAAAGTTATATGTAGAAGAATTTTGGTCAATAATGCTTTTTTTTCGGTAAGTAACACAACAATTTCTCTTTTTTTTTTAATAATATTTAAATGTGTTTTTTCTACAAATTTTAATTTTAATATTTAAATGTTAATTTTCAACTAACTTTAATTTATTTATTTGTAATTAAATAAGGTTTAATTTGTTAAAATTTTCGAAATAATCGTTTTATTTAGTTTATGATTTGTCCTGTTGTATAATGTACAGTCGTTGTTTAAGTTAAATAATAAAATTTAGCGTTTAAACTTATTATCTCGATTATAATTATGTATTATAACTTAGAAAATTAGATTTTTTTATATATCATATAATTATTTTCGAATTAAGAATTTATACTTTCGCTCCAGACGATCCCAGTGTCTGCGTGCTGGCGCCGTAAGCCTGAGGCGTGAATGCGCGCGTGTGCGTGCGTGCGTACGCGTCCGTGCGTGTGCGTGTGCGTGTGCGAGATACCGGCGACGTTTTCCCCGTCCGACGCGGCGCAAGCGGCCAAGCCTCACTCACCTCGCGGCATCGGCTGCCGGCCCTTGTTGAACATCGACTCCCAGTCCGAGTGCAGCTCGCGCGAACCCCAGCCGTCGCGTCTGCGGAATAGAGCACAGTTTGCTGTAGCAATTATCACATAGTATCAACACATAGATATTTGGCTATTTTTACTATTTGACATGTCTGATAATGATATGCCTATATCGTTTATAATTATAACTTTACGCATGATCGTATTGAAAAATGATGTTACAATTATTTTATGGGTTGAGATTATAACGTATCGAATTTTGTCTATTCGGATAAAAGTTTAATAAACCTCAGAAAATTGCTATTAGCAGAAACAGATATGAAAAATCACATAAACCATTAAAACTATTGCTTTAAATTTAATTCTTTATTAACTTTTGCCCGCCATTAGTTTTAAACATTTAAACTCACGTTTCCGAGACACTTCGCTTACTTTCCGAATAAGTATGTGTGCTGCATGTAAATAGATAAAGCGGATGTGTAAACATTTTTTTTATTTGGGTATAATATAAAAAATAAAATATTCACAATACTTACAACAGATGTCTCCTTGGTAAGTGAGGGCTGCATGCGGAAAATTAAAGTCATCATAATTAGTTGGAATTAAAAAAATAAAACTCATATCATGCAGAATGATGGTGAAACGTGGAGCAAAAAAGTCAATGAAAATAATCATTGTTTTCAGGTTGGGAAGACTAGTACGATGGTAGTAATGGTATATTCTCATTTTTATAAAATATCAAAAGTAACAGATTATTAAGTTTCTCGGATGCTTTTTATACTTTTTAAATAAAGAGGAAATAAAATATGAGAATATACTTGTATATTTTAAATTACGATTTTACATATACATCTGCTGAAGGACAAATTAAAACGAGTCGATTTTTAATAACAAATAACAAAACCGACTTCAAATATCTCGCTTCAGACCGCAAGGTCCAATATCAATGAAATTAATATGGGACCTCTTGTGTTTATATTGTGAGCTAAACCATTCGGTTCAGCAAAAAAAATATTTTTATAATCGATTTATACATGACGGAGTTTTGAGGTAACAAATATAAAAAAAAATACAAACGAATTGAGAATCTCGTCCGTTTTTGAAGTCGGTTGAAATTACATCAAAAAATTTTTGGATTAAGCGGCCGCACTCAGATAACTGGCACTTGACATTGGATTAGTTGATTTGGCAAATTTAGTTTTAATTAATTATAAGTCTCCATGTGAAAACTAAACAAAGTCAATTCTAACACGTAGTCGTAGTTTCTAGCGCTAAACTAAGTCTCTGAGTGGAGCCGTTACATATTTAGTTTTAAAATCAGTTCCACACAACTGTGGTTTTCAAAAATCCACACTCAAAGATTAATGAATGGATTGCGTTTGAAATGCAAAATGTGTGAGTCATGACACACCTAAATGTACATCCTATTTTTAGAGTAACCAACGTTTTCATAAGAAATTGCCTTTTTAATGCGATGTAAACTTTAGTCTGAAAACTATAATCTGCTGAATAACGAGATCTGCAATAATATTAATAAAATTCGATAATTAAATTAATGTTACCATAAGAATATAAAAAAATGTTTATTTGAAATTCATCATGAAAATAAACAGAGACACTATTCATATCGAATGAATTACTGTTCGAGAAAAATTCCCTAAAATTCTTCCAAAGCCAATTGTTGCTGTGTATTTTTGGGCAACGTAGCTTTTTTTGTTGCGAACATACTTCCTGTATATTTTAGTGCCTGTACGTACGTACTTATTCTGTACACTGTACTGTACATACGCGACGTGACCTGAGAACCCATGGAGTCAACTTCACTAATTTTCGATTCAACGAACAGTCGTTAGTAACGGCTACTATTCGTTTCTTAGTTAAGAGTAACGAGGCGTCACCTAGCGTTCCACAACTGACTTTTTTACGTCGGTCACTAATAACGAAAGTCCGTAAGGCGCATTTAAGTGTAGCGCACCCTATTCTCAATGTTTGAAATAAACAACTTCTATCAGTTCGATTTGAATGGTAGTATGAAAGTTGAGGGCGTGTGAAGTGACGAAGGCCACACTGTTCGGCGTTATCTGGTGCGTACCTATTGAAGAACGGTGACTGCAGATTGTTGAAGAGCGAGTGCGGATGCTGCGAGAAGCCGGGCCCCTCCTCCCCGTTCAGACGCTGCGTCAGTGCACGCACCTGCGGAGTCATAGAGAATATATTATTGAAGTTACACTTCTTTTGGTGCGTTTGTAAAACAATATTAGAGTGGATTTTTCGACGCGCGACACCTAAATGCGACACTCATTTGTTACTATGGCAACAGATAACAACTTTTTGGCATTCACCTATAATTCCAAGTTATTTAATGAAATTGTTATCAATTGTATTTAATGTATTTCTTTTTTTCACTTTTTTTACATACAAAGTAATTGAAATTTTTCTTTTGTTACATTAAGTAGTATAATTTCTTAATTGTGCCTTAACAAACACACGTTTTTATGGTTGAAGACATTCATGACGCGTTTAAGCGATAGATTAAAACAGTAAATCATTTGCAAATCAAAGAAAAAATATTATATCACGACTGTTATGTAATACTTATGTGTATATAAATAAGACTTTAACATCTTATGGCTATTGAAGCTTGGATATTTATAGTGTTTAATATTTATACGTTTTTTGCTGCAATAGATGTTCTATAAAAATTTACCCTGTGCAAAAGGGTGGAGAATAAGTTCTCCGCGGTGAGGAGGTGGAAGCCCTCGTCCTCTTCATCTTCCTCGCCTGAACTGACGGACTCCGCGCGGGCCGCTCTTGTGGATCTGGAACAAAATTAATTCTCACCTTAAAATGCTTACAAAGATTCCAAAGATGCAGATGAAAAAGAGAATAGAACATTTGTAAGTTAATGGTGGAATGAATAAGTGAAATGTAGGTATATTTTTAGTGGGTACCCTAAGGCAGTGATTCTCAACCACTGTGCCGCGGCACTTTTGTGTGCCGCCAAATTTCAAAAGTGTGCCGCCAAATTTTGCAAATATATAATGTTAATATTATTAAATTATATAATTTAAAAAGAAAAATATTTTTTGGCATTAGCCAACGTCAAAACTAAAAAAAGATCAAGATTGTTAAATGTAGAAGACGATATGAGAGTAGCATTCTCATTTTTACGACCAAATATAAATGAAATTATCAAAAAACATCAAGCTCAAATTTCGCATTAAAAATATTTTTATTATGTAATTGTAATTAATCCCTTAATAAACGTTTAGTTATTATTGTAGTATGTATTAGTTTATTTCGTATATTTAAAATTTTTGTCATATACTATTTATGCAGTGTGTTGTAGTAAGTAAATAATTTTTATCTTTTTCTTTGTGTGCCGCCAAATTTTGAAATCGTTTTATATGTGCCGCAACAAAAAAAAGGTTGAGAATCACTGCCCTAAGGTATGTTTATTTTTCAAGTTAGCTCACTCGGTAAAAGCGCTGAGGCGCGTTACTCGAAAGGTATTGGTTCAAATCTCAAAGCGCCAAAATTTTTTCGACAATTCTTCCAAACATAACTTTATATTGAGTGCAGATGCTAGGACTTGAAATAATTAAAGAAATTGATTTGTAACAGAAGAATAATTGTTCAATATTATTCTAATTAAAACGTACCTCAGACGGTGCATGTGATTATCATCTTCTTCTTCGGATTCTCCTCCGCTAACAAGACTACTGTAATTTAAAAAGAAAACACTAGTTACTTCTAAGATCAAGGATATATTACATGGAAACTTCGCAGGTGACGGACACCGGAAAATATACTTGAAAATATAGAATATAGCTGTCCTATGTAACTTTTTCATCTGGTGAGTGAAGAAAGCAGGGCCCATATATTTTAAAGGACAGCAATGTATCTGCCACTAACCAGAAGTTATCACTTTAAATATTAGTGAACCGCCTGCTCGTCGTACAAGAGTGCAACAGACAAAGGGCAGGTCCGTCCGGTTTAGTACCACGACCTCACAGAAGACCGGCGTGAAGTCGAAGTGTTATACTTCTGCGTTTCGTATGGTAAGTGAGGTAGCCGAAGCCCACTTTAATAAAAGATGGCAACGCATCTGCAATCCTACGGATGTTGTTTATGTCCATGGATTGCGATTATCACTTATGATCAGGTAAGCTGTCAGCTTGCTTCCCACCTTCTCACCAAAAAATCCAAAATTAGCCGATTGCTTTGTAAAGGTGGATGTGCAATATGTATCAGTGATATATTTGGCGAGCGAGTAATATATTGTAGTGAGTGAGGGATTGAGTGTACAGTGAGTGGTAGAGGCGAGTAGAGTAGTGTACGGTCCGTGATAGGAGCGATCGAGTAGTGAGTGAGTGTACCGTCCGTGGTAGGGGTGAGCGAGTAGTGTAGTGAGTGAGTGTATAGTCTGTGGTAGGGGCGATCGAGTAGTGTAATGAGTGAGTGCACAGTCCGTGGTAGGGGCGAGCGGGGCGACCTGATGCGGCGCGGCTTGTGCGTGCGCGCGATCCGCGGCGCGTGCGCGTGCGCGCCCTCCGGCTCGAGGCTGCGCTGGCGCGGCGTCACGTAGCCCTTGCCCTCCACCGCGATGGGGATGATGAACTCGCGCGCGGACTTCTTGATCGGCTCGCCGGGGCTGCTGCACGCCTCGCTCGTCGGCGACTCCGCGGACGCCAGCCGCCTGCCGGTCGGAATATGGCGCACGCTTTAAGACACGTTCCGACACTTAGTTTCCGGACGCTCGTTTTTAATTCAATATACTCTAGCAACCTGAGTTCAAATCCCGTGTCGGCACCAATGTAATTGTTCAATACAATTAAAAAATATATATTTGGATGATTTTGTACCTCTGTACAGAGTAAGATTTTACTCATCGGTGGGACATTGGAGACTGTGGAGTATGAGTCCTTGACTTTTGTATGCTTACTCCTAGGTCCCGAATTGTTGTATTATGGGATATAAGGAATTATTCTGTTTCAATTGAGATTTAAGATATATTAATGTAGTATCTAAAACAAGTTTCTTTCGATTTATTAACTCCAGTATTCTAAAGCAATAGTTACGACATAGCTTAAGTAGCTATTCGATCCATTAGAAGTAAAACTACTCCAAGGGTGAGTGTTTCGAGAAAACAAAAGTGTTGTTTGAGTGAGCTCTTGGTGTGTCGTCACCTCAGCGGCGTGTGCTGTCGCGGGGCGGCGGGGGGCGGGGGGCGCGGGGGGCGTGACCGGCGGCGGCTTGTGCGGCGGAGGGGGCGGCTCCTCCGCGGACACGTGGATGGGGATGATGCGCTCCACGGACACGCCCCTGCGCACAATCGCTCGTTTTACACAATTTATGTGGGATTGGGGAAAGGATTTCTGCGGCGATGAAATTATACGAACGCATGGTTAAACAATTTCATCATCCTTTGATGCCAAGTGGATTCGAAAAGGTTCACCTTTGGATGTAAAAGATTTGAGTACTTCTTATATTAAATCAATATTCCTCCGAAGGTGCAGGCGAAAGGATTATGGATGACGCTTTCGCATCTCGTCTCGGGTCCTTTCTCTCTCTTTGATTGTCTGTTAGTTTGGAGTGAATCAAAAAAACGCGACAAAGCAAAGATAGATAACAAACTGGCCACTCGTACTACCGCGTGAAGAAGACCGAAGCCAAATCTGTTAATATTAGGGGCATAAATTGAGTCAATAGAAGGTTTATTTCAAATTATTGAGATTCGATTATTACGACTACTGGAAGCAAAGACGACAGTGGGGTTAGTGACGTCACGGTTAGCGTACCTGTGCCGGTGGTCGTCGACGCGGTGCTGCGCCTCGGTGCGGTAGAGGCGGGGCGCGGCGGGGGGCGCGGAGGGGGGCGCCGCGGGAGGGGTGCCGGGCGGGGAGGACAGTGACGTCACGCCCGCCGACGATGACCGCCCGTACGGCACCGGCGGCTTGCCTGCAACCGACACTCGTTCACTCTTTAACACTCTACAGTGCGCTTGCTAATATTTTTTTTAATTTGATATCGCTCAATCTTGAAATCGCCTTTATTTTGCACCCGCTACGTATGAGTAGGGCTACACCTAGTGGTGCAGTTGCAAAGGTATTGGCTTCGGCGCCATGGGTCGTGGGCTCGATTCTCACACGAGATAACTAATTGTGTGACCCGCAGATTGTTTCGATCTGGTTGTTTATCCATGTGATTATGTATGTAAAACGTCCTAAAAACACAGGATAAGGTTATCCTACTTAAGGAGTAATGTTCTAGATCTTCTAGGTCGCAGTGGTCGTTGGGACTCACTTCCAAACCCCTTCCATACAAAATACAATGCTGTAAGTCATTTGTGTGAATATTAACCGAATACTTCATGATGTTCATACTCAATATACGTGCTGAACTCGCGCAGGGACTTCTCTCGGGCGTATGTAATTGGATTGGATTTGAAATAATCCGTCTCCTATCTGTGAACTTTCCCTATAGCTATAGGGAAAGTTCGAGCCTGTTAGACCTTCATCGATGCGATCGCAACCCTTTTGTGGTATCTTTTTCGCTGCTGCTTCCAAAGGATATTTGGGTCTCATTTCCTCTCCATTTGCTCGACGCGTCCAGCCCATCTCAACTTCAGGCCTAATGTATTCATCACAGACGCGATAAATGCTCTTTGAGGAATAATATTTTTTTTAATTACCATCGAATCATATTGTGACGTGCAATGTTCATGCGACAAACAGAACAGCGCGGCGAACAGCACTAGTGCGTGGGGTGAAATAATGATACTGATGCTAGTGATAATGAAAATACAATTATTAGGAAACTACATAAGGTATCATGATATCTCGTGCCTTCTAATTCTCTCATATCCGAACGCGACTTCCAATTGGTTTTTGTTCTTAAAGCAGCCACGTGCATTTAAAGTGCTTTGAAAGTTAATATGAAGGGAAGATGAGAAATGAGCGGAGTTTGTATAGTGAAAGCATTACTTGCATACCAGTGCGTATGGCGGATGAGATAATATCGCGAGCAGCGCGTCTTCGGCTTTCCTCACCCGCTTTCTCCTCAACCAGCTTGGCCATGGAGTTCTGCAGACTCCTGCAACGGGGTCGAAAAGTCCTTTAAAACGTACTGTTTTTGTGTCTCACAGTTTGTTGGTCCACCACAAAAGTGTTTTTATAAACACCCGTTGTGTTATAATACATAAAACAACGTAAAAGCATATACAGCGTGTCTTTACAATCGCGACAATAAATGAACACACATATAAGGGATAACTTTTTAAAGTTGTATTAAACATTTACATTCTTTAAACATCAATATTTACAGAGTTATTAAATTTTCCAAAACAAAGAATTTTAGAACACCCTTACGTATAAAACTGTAACGTAAAGTTCATTTGTAAAGGTCACATAGCATATGAATGAAAGAGAGACAAAACATACTGTTAGAAGGAGAGGCTTGTAATGCGACGCTGTGGCGCGAGTTATACAGGATGTTACAAATTTTGTTTCTTTTTTACTTAATTAGTTTGTTTGAAAAATATTTTCTTTTAATTATGAATTTTGTTTAACGTTAATATTTTTTATGATTATTGGCAAGTAGCGTTAGACGTGTGTTCATTTATGGTCGCGATGGTAACGACACGCTGTATATAACTAGATTCGGCACAATTACTGGAACATATGAGATTAATTTATTGAGTGTCTAAAACAACAAAATCGTTCTTCGTTTATATTTACGGTTTATAAATACGTTAAGTAACACATCTATTATGATTTATTAAAACTAAAAAGTAAGGGTAAACAATAAAGTAAAAGCTTATATATGTCCCTCTGGTGGACAAGGGACTCCTCCGTACAGAGGATATTAGGGCATAGTCCACCATGTGGCCCCACTGCGGAATGGCGGACTTCGCAAGCCTTAAATTTTTTTTTCATTATTATTGCTTAGAAAAGTTTCTTTACTTCAAATATTTTTTTCATTATTGTTTAGAAAATATTCATCAGAGCACGTGAAAAATCGGCACATAAGATTGCAATTTTGTTTTTTATTATTTATTGGTGCCGGGACCGGGATTTCAACTCAGTTTGTTCGAGTATATCGAATTAAAGGCGAGCAACTGGATACTGAGCTCACTGCAACCACAAAGTACTATATTAGAAAATACATAATTCATAAAAAAAGGGAAAACTAAAAAGTATGTCTAACCTTCTAGCGTCTTGGAGCAACACGGATGGGTCCACCTGAGTGGTGTTGTGCATGGGCTCGCTTTCCGTCTTCTTAACGCCGCTGCGACTCATGTCCCTTGCCTCTTCAACTGGAGTCTGCAAGAGATTTATAATAATTATGACAAAATAACAAAACAACTAATATGCGCGTTATGCTTAAATATACTACACTAGATCCATCCGACATAAAACTGGAAATATTATTAAAATTAATATCAAAATCAGTGTACTAACAGCTTACAGAACAGGTCATAGGTTGGATCCCAGGGAAGCACCTACCGTGGCCTCAATGAAAAACAAAGTGAAGTAGAAGTATTTATTCTTTTGACGTAGCCGGAGGCTACCGGTGGTTGGTGCTGTGTCTCCAACAACGGTGATAACTTAGCATCGGGTGAAACATTTATTAAATTGTAATCGCTTTGAAATTAAAAATGCGAAAACTGTAAGACATATACGGATGGTTCACATTACTGATCTCTTATCACAAATACTGGTTGAGTGCAGACTTTGTAGGTGTTTGGAAAAAACTATTTGGATCCGTTCCAATTGGTTCTCCATCAAATACGAATTCCCCTTGACCTTGAGGACTGCAGGATGAAGTTATTCCATATTACACGATATCTGTAAGTCACTGCATTACGGTGCAGTTGATTTTTTTAAATGGTAAATGATGATGTTGTTATAATAAGTAAAGTCGATTATTAGACGCTTTCATTTCTACCTGCGACGGTTCAATTCCAATCTGTTGCAGTCTGACGGTGCCATTGTCAGGCGACTTCTGTGGCAGGTCTCTGTCTTCGCTTTGCGCTTTGGGCTTCGCGATCTTCGACACGACTGTAATTAATTCATGACAAGTAAATAAAAGCGTCACGATTAAATTAGTAAACGAACTACAATAAATTATAAATAAGTATTTGGAGGATTTAATGCCACATACATACTATCTAGTGGTGATACAGGGATAAAGGATGGTACGGTAAAGTGCTAGATCGCGTTATAGATGACATGTGAAAAAGAACTGTCACTTTAACGCTAATTATACACCAGAGAAAAAACCTACGAGTTGTTTGGAATTTAATAACCGAATCTTCACCAGTGCAAAAAATTACATCAAGACGAAAATGTGAATTTTTGATCACAGAAGACGCAATTTTGAATCCGGCAGCTATGAAAGTTTCTGTTCACATATATATAAAAATTCACATATATATAAAAATTCACATTTTAAGTTTAATCTTTAGCACCAATAAAATAAATTATAAAAAATTTCAAGAATAGAAATCGCTTCTATATGTACGCCCAGATTATTTAGTCACAAACATCACAGGTTGCGAGTCTGCAGCCATAGATTATAGACACAAAAGTGGAACTGATTGTTGAATTTAAGAAATCTAAATACTACCACATAAGTCTCCGCGACGACGCCATCACCTAATTTTACGTAGCTCTATTACATTAAAACATGTAGAAAAAGTACGAAAAGATTGTCGCCGCTGTGGGAATCGAACCCACGTCTTCGGCATTAACTATTCTTCGACTAAGGTCAGTCGTCAGTGGTCCCTCAGCGGCGACAATTTTTTCGTACTTTTTCTACATATTTTAATGTTCAATCTCAAGTGCAGAGATTAGCACTAAAATAAATTTAAATCTCTATTACATTTTCAATAAATGAGAAGCATCATTCGGTGACGACTCGGTGGCGCAGTCGGCACCTCGGATCGTGAGTTCGATTCCCACGCGGAAAAAGGGTGACTCAAAATAATTAAAAATATCAATGTATTCTGCGACGTTATAATCGACCCTTTCCAAGTATAATGTATAACGAACTCACCAGGCTTGGAGACGTTGCGTTTGATTTCAGGGGCAGCAGTAAGTGACGCCCTCCTCTCGAATTGCTCTTTAAAGCTGCCCACATGGCCACCTAAACGAGAAAAAACCAGGTAAAAATGTTGAATTCAAACGATGTTATTTAAAGGCTTTAGTGGCGTAATGAATTTAGAAGTTCAAGGTAATTTGGTATAAAGATGATTTAAGACCGTATTGTAATCCCCAAATTACAAACAATTCCCAATTTAAAACAGATTTTATTTTTATTTTTCACAGTTGATGTATTTCTGTTGCCGCTATCACAACAAATACTATAAAACGGAATCAAAATATTTAAGTGGGGCTCACATACAAGTCATGACTTTTTTGTAGTTTTTGTAGATAATGGCACGGAACCCTTCGTGCGCGATTCCGACTCGCACTTGTTTTTTAGAATATTAAGCAGAGAATAGCACTGAAAATAAACTATTAATCCGTCTGACTACTTCTTTCTAGATCTTTCAAAGCATACCAATAGACAGTTTCTTCGGTTTGGCGGGAGCCGGCGTAGGAGCAGCCGGTGTTTGCGGTGTTAGGGAGAGCGACGTGAGTTTGTCCGCAGCGGCCGCCACTGACGCTTGTTTCGGCTCGTCTGCCTGAGAAAGCAAAAAATAAATGCGCATGAAACACCCTATATGCGAGAAATGAAAAATGAATTCTTAGAGTCATCCAATGGTCACATTTTCTGTACCTTAGGTTGGTCAAGCGTTTCCGGCCTTGGTTTCTCCTCGACTTTGGGCGTGGCAGCAGTTGTGGTTTCTGGTTCCTGGTACTCCTCTTTGGGCGCCCTCTTGGCGATGTCCACGGTGGCGTCCTTGGCCAGTTCGACCGGCGCTGGCGCTATGGTTATGGTAGCAGACGACTTTAGACACGGCTCGGGCTGGAAATTAAGGCGAAGATAGTAATATTAAATGGTATTCAATGCATTGCATACAATGTCCCTGATTCGGGGGATATATCGCATGGGTTTGACATTTGTAACACCCGTAGTGCTGTAGATGCATTGCACCTTTTGGTAAAGTGGGCCCCGGCTACCTGACTCTGTGGGATTGGAGTTACGTTGCCAACCTTAGTCCGCGGTTTAAGCCTCAATAACCTTATAAAACTTATAAAAACTTTCGGTTTACGCCATTCTTTCTACACAGCAGAACGAATGAATGAAGAAGTGAACGGGAAGCGTTTACCGGTTGCTGCGGCTCGTCGGCGGCCGCTTCCTCGGGCAGCGGGGCGGCTCGCTGCGACGCCAGCTGGGCCGCGCTGGCGCTGCAGTGCCAAACGAAAATCGACTTTATTTTAAGAAGTGTTAATGCGCATTTCCTTAGAGCTATTTCTTATGTGAAAAGTTAACGATCTGCAGTGCCAAACGAAACTCGGCTTTATTTTAAGAAGTGTTAATGCGCATTTCCTTAGAACTATTTCGTATGTGAAAAGTTAAAGATCTGCAGTGCCACACGAAACTCGTCTTTATTTAATGGGATATTAACGCGAATTTCCTGTGACCTATTTCTTATGTGAAAGTTAGCGATTAGCAGTGTCACACGAAAATCGTATTTATTTAATGGGGTATTAACGCGAATTTCCTATAAGGTATTTCTTTTGTGAAAAGTTAGCGATCAGTAGTGTCACACGAAAATCATCTTTATTTAAACCGGTATTAATACGCATATGTCCACTTCACGCCACCTGCCACTTCTGAGGACGTAGAACTTAGAATTCTTATTGGTTTTATACACTCGTCGCACTCAGAGACGTAGAGACGTATTTCATGTTTATTAAAATCTTTTATTTGCATTTTTCAGTATAAATTGCTAGAATAAGGAAGCATTTCGCAAAGAATAAAATTTAATTTAAAGTTAAGCGCTAATTCAAATACCTGAGAGCTTGTACCCCTTAATGACATAGCGTAGATATAAGGCTGAGGCTATTGCGTCGCCCTACCACTGTATGTATCGTCAATAAAGACATCAAACTTGTTATTTCCATTATAAATATCAGTATGGGATAAATAAATGTTTTCTCAACAGATATATCTAATATAACCTCGCTACTTTCTCCTTCTTCCTCTGCAAGCCGCTGGCGGACATGGCCAGCTCCAGTTTGCGCTTGTTCTCGCCGGCTGTCACAATGGTGCGAGTAGGTGACGGCTTTATCGCATCCTCTCCGCCCTCTAGAATTAACAGGGCGATATGATACCTCCGGGTTCCCGTGGGCATTTCTTTGGCAGAGCTTGTTTGGCTTTGAATTAGAAAATCAAAGGAAAAAATAAAAGTTCAGTGTTGAATCATCATTATCAACATCATTTCAGACAGTTTGAGTGCAATGTTGAACATAGACCGTCCTCTTAGACGGCCACGAATCGTGACACTGACGTCGTCACTCCATCTAGGGCGGGTCCTCGTATACTGCGATGGACCTATGGTTCTTCGAGCTATATGGACGACCCACTGCCACTTCAGTTTACTAAGCCTCTGAGTTATTTGAGCTATGTTTGACCCTGGTTATACTCCTGATTTCTTGCTTTCATACCTGCAACCAGTTCGAGGATCCTCTTCTCCGCAGAGTTGCTCGGCTCGACGGCCATCGAAGTCGAGCTCGTAAGGTCCGTGCAACTCTCCTCGGGCCCGAGCTCGTTCTGCCGAAAGTTCAAAAAACACCAACTATACATTACGCAATATGCCCATTATGTTTGACTGTGACAGGGCCACGCAGCAATTCGCTGTAGCACGAATTAGCAGGTCCGACCGGGTAAGTACTACGACCTCACGGAAGAACACCGTGAAGTGGGAGTGTTACACTTCTGCGTTTCCTCTGGTGAGTGAGGTAAACATAGCCTAGAGTTTATTGAAAGGTGGTAACGCGTCTGCAACCCTACGGGTGTTGCAAATGTCCGCAGGCGGTGGTTATCACTTAAAATTCAGTGAACAGCCAACTCACAACTTCTTAGATAAAAAAAGAACGGAGCTTTCATCGCACTGACCTCTGGCGGCACCACCACGGAGTTGCAGTGCGAGGGCGCTGCTGGTGCCAGCGAGAGGAGCAGGTCCAGCCGCACGGGGGTCTCAGCCGCCAGGGCTTCTGCCACTTCCAAGCACGACGTAGAGCAGCCGGTGTTCACCCATCTGCGGAGCAATGTGGCAATTTATAACACGGCAATGTTGCCATCTTTACTGTGGTAGGGTATCACGCAACAACTGCTTTTGGACGAATGAACATTCATCCACGGACTCGAAGCAGAAATATTTTATATTTTTGTGTTCGCCTGGTAATTGAGGTAGCAAGGGTCCACGCTTTAAAGGTTGATAACGTATGTCAAACCCATCATGGACATCTCATAGATATGTGCAGCGGTAATTACTTAACGAAATGCGATATTATGGTATGATTGTCGTTTTTCCGTCTGTATGCTTGGTATCAATTTGCTGGTTTCGTTTGTGATGTACCACGACTCTGCAGCGACGTAAGTGATTATTAGACATCTAAAACTGAAAGAACGGAACTAAATATTGTTCCCGAATAATCTTAATATACTAAATATAGAGATTATAAACACATATCCAAATTCAACGCCCTCAGACAATCATAATTCCAGGTCATATAATAGTAATAGTAAAAAAGTTACTTACGGATGGTCACAAATATATGCAATGTCGGCGCGTTTCAGCGGATCCACTGTTAACATGTCCCTAATGAGCGGTGATGCGGCTGGAACAAAAATTGCGAATAAGTAACAATTTTGAGCATGACAATTATTTTCGATAATCAGCATTATTTTCAACGTAAAAGATGTTTAATTCAAACCAAAACAAATTTCCTACTACCTAACTAGCGTATTTAAATCTTGAGTAGATCAGAATTAGCTATTCCATACGAAGCTAGTAAGAAGCGAGCAAGTCCTTTTTTAATCATCATCATTTCAGCATGAGTATAGTGCTAGTCTAAAATATAGCATAGGCCTGCGACATAGACCAACACGAAGCACGATCCTGAAGGCCCATTTACACGATGCCATTTTCTTGTACATACAAGAGCAATAATTGAATGGAATAAATTGCTTAGACCATTTGTTGTTTAGACCATGCAACTCATTTATTGCTTCAATTTAATTGTATACAACAGGCAAGAAACTGGCACCATGTAAATGGGCCTTGAGCCATCTGTGTCCATCGCCTTGCGGCACATTTACAAAGTCCGTAATTTCATCTAGTGAGGGGTCCTCCCACACTACGATGGCCAATACGTGGCTGCCACTCGAGAACTTTTCTTCCCTATCTGTCGTCGGTTCATCGGGCTACTTTAGCTTACTAATCCTCTGAGCTATATCAGTTCTTTTTTAAACATACATAATTATATCAACAATCACCTATGGCACCCAATAGGGTAGGTATCTCAGTCTTCCCTAGGTGCCTACAAGGGTTTAAAGATTGTAGAAGTGGAAGACCTTGTTGTCTTACGATTATCTTGCTTCTGTAAATACCAGTTTAGCCTTTTCCTCATTCATACCACCTATAACATACTATACCTCGGTACATCGTACTCCAACCATATCGCTAATCCAGCTGAATCTTCCTCTAAAGGGTCCACAGCCGATTCTTTTACAGTTTTTCCATTTACAATAATCTTTCTTCACCAGTCGTACTTTATCGATGCAATCTTTTCCAACATACCTCAGAACTTTTCCTTTCATGTCTGTCCTTCTGTGCCTTGTATGGCACATTTTGACTCGCTATAACAGATTGTATAGCCCTATTGCATAGCCCTATTTGCTTTAACATTATTTTGTTCCATATCTTAGATCATATGACAAATCTGAAGCGGAGTGATCTTAATAATATTAAATTTAAAAGTATCATAGTTAACTTACTCGACGGATTCTTGGGTTCGTAATAATCGCCGTTGCTGATCTGTCGGACTAGACGCTTGAAGTTGGAGCCGTCGAACGGCATGGCCCCGTAGACTAGAGTGTATAGGAGAACGCCCAGAGACCAGCAATCGACCTGTACGGGAATTTCAAACATTTGCACAATACTCCAAGCGTATGCACCAACTACTAGCTTTACCAAGTATAAAACATATGTTGTACCAACTACTAGCTACTACAGCTGTTGCGTACTAGTGCTTTACTGATTAAATAATATAAAATTAGAGACAGTTTTCAGTGACAGTTCTAGATTATTTTATACACGACGAATTTCTGCAAATTACTGCGATATCCTCTGTACAGAGGAGGCCTTTGCTCAGTAGTGGGATATTTATAGGCTGATACTTTACTATACTTTATTGCGACTTGCGCAGCTGCTTCTTCGGGTAAGTACCACGACCCATAGCATTACGTTATTAAATAAGTACTTAGTTATACTTTTGCATATTGTCTGGTGAGTAGCCGAAGCAAAAGCCGAGTCAAAACACCACTATACACACATACATCATAACATCAGGTAACCACTTGAACTATCACGTTTGCCACCGTCTCCAATAAATCTAATATTCATGTTTCCTAGTCACTTGCAGTACGATCTGAGACAAACGTCCAAATTTCAGTGCCTCGAAAAGATTTTACCTCTGCAACCTGTTTATGATTCAAAAAATTTATTTGTCAACGTGTACACGGTGCACAGTGACCGGAGTACAACCTGTCTTTTTGGGACTCTGTGAAACGTGGATTGCTAGTACAAACTATTTGTTCACAATTCCGGGGTGGAAGTTGGAATTTGCTCAAAGTCACATTTTGAAGTAATTACTTTACATATTAATAACAGAGTGAGACAGAAAAAACTCCACTTCAACAGGTTCTACGACACCCAGGAATTTAATAAGCTCGTTAAAATTAGATAGTCAGCCATCCCCGTCGGCGTATATAGACGTATAGAGTTTCTTCAGACGAAATAAAACCACTTCAATAAGTCTGCTCTTGGTTTATTTGTTTTAAATGCATTCCGAAACCTAATAATTCCTCATAAGTCTGAAGAGTATCAAACGATGTCATTAGCACGTTCGTAGACATATAAATATACCGGGAGACGTTTACGCTGCAATTAGGGCTAAAATACCAGCCGAGCGCAAAAATCTATATTCGTCGAACCCTATGGAATGTCGTGGATATCATTGGAGCAGATATAAATCATCGCTTACACAAAAATTTATAATACTTAGCTTACCTAAATATTATATCTAAGTTTCTTTTCTCAACTAAATGAAATTATTTTATCTTAACGATTTTTATTTACGCGAATATTATACAATTTTTTACATATTCAGTAACTGACCTTTCGAATGCTTTATAGCATTCGTGATCACGGACTACCTTCAAATCCCAAGCCACCTAAATTGTGTGGGTTGCCAAAATTACGTAAACCAGACGCTCCGCTATCGCCATATTGTAAGCCAGATCGACTCAACAACTCGTGAATTTCCTCTCAGTTTTTAAGTTCCCAAATCACTCACCTCTGGCCCAATATACGGCGTCCCCTTGACGATCTCTGGCGACGCGTACAAGGGTGAACCGCAAAAAGTGGACAGCAGCGAAGTCTCTTTGAAAACGTTCGATAGACCGAAATCAGCTATCTGTAGGAGAGCGAATTTTGGATCAGAACAAATGCTACTTTTACGTAATATTTGAGTATAGTAGTAATATTTAATTCAAGGATAGTTTTAATATTTCAATATATATAATATTAGTTATGTACAATGATTCTCAAAGGAGACGGTGGTAGGGCCACGCAGCAGCCTCGGCTGTTGCACGAATGGGCAGGCCCGTCCGGGTAAGTACCACGACCTCACAGAAGACCGGCGTAAAGTGGAAGTATGACAAATACTTTCGCGTTTCGTCTGGTGAGTGAGGTAGCCGGAGCCCAATTTTCAAAAGGTTGTCAACGCATCTGTAACCCTCGAGTGTAGCAGATGTCCATGGGCGGCGGTATTCACTTAACATCAGGTGAACCGTCTGCTCGTTTGACAACTTTTCGCATAAAAAAAAAAAAAAAAAAAAAAAAAGAGTAAGACAAATGATCAGTATCCACGGTCACTTATAGATAGACTTAAAGTTTCGGACATTATATTATAGCAGTTATATTATATTGAAATGTTTTATGCCTATTCCGTAGAAATGATCAGTGTGCGTTCTCATTCACTTGGTGATTCTAGTTCGATAGGCTAAAGATTATGATGGGCTAAATTGCATCACAGCTGTTTGGAAGAGGTTTTCAACAAGTTCAGATTGCGATAATGTTCTTAACATTAAATTATGAAGCTATTGGGGTGACCTCGAAATAAATAAGTTACTCGATTGTTCGTACTTAAGAAACAAGTATCTGACATACAAGAAATAATTACCCGGGCGTCGTCTCCAACTACTCATACATAGTTATCTGATCGAGACAACGATAGAAGCTATGGTGAAGCCACTTCAATGGATGCACGTTTTACGCCAATCAAAACCTTTGTTTTGATTACTGAATCATCTTTCTATAATCGGCAGCTATTTGGAGTAGGTATATTCAAGGCATTTCCTACTTCCGGCAACCGCTTTGTGGAACTAGCTGTCGCCGGCAGTCTCTTCGAACCGTTACGACCTGGGAACCTTCAAGAAGACAGCATACTCTTTCCTAAAAGGCCGGCAACGCATTTGTGAGCCCTCTAGTGTTGCAGGTGTCCATGGGCGGCGGTCATCACTTACCATCAGGTGAGCCTCCTGCTCGTTTGCCGCTTTTTTCTCATAAAAAAATAACTAATGATATACCTACTTCAAATAGCTACCGAACTTTTCTGAAGAAGTAATTCGAAACACATTTTATAAATTATTTAGTTAGTGATCTTGGTATACTAAATTGCGTTTATTATATTTAACTTTTAACAAATAAAACATAAAATATCATAAAATAATTTAATTGAAAGCAAAAATTTTTATTTTGGAACCTTACGCCACAGATAATAAAGACGAATTTGTGAACTATACAAACCTTAGCGCTGCCAGTGTCATCTAGCAATACGTTCTCTAATTTTAAATCCCTGTGGCATATCTTGTGTATGTGACAGTAGTAAACAGCTGTCGCGATCTGTCGAAACAACCTGAAGCAATATGGAACATTCTCATGATTTCATATGATTAATTGGCAGATAAACGACGAAAAATTATCGGAGATACAGTTCTTGAAACGTGATATTCTTAGAATAGTCATTAAAACGAAATTAATTTATGAATAACGTGTCGCAAAATTTCTTTAAAGTCGAGAGATATGATTCTAACTTTTTCATAATACTTCTGCTGATGTATTATTGGACAAGGTCTGGCGTTTAATTCATTTGTTTGCGTTCGAATCATCTCGACAAACACTTGTGGATTAACAAGTTGCGGACGGGGTAAGGCGGGAAAAAGAGTCCTTTTTTAAATACTTCGCTATGGAAATAGCAACAGAAGTATCAATACAAGATTATTGCAACTATTTTATATGCCAAGAAGGCATTTTATTTCTTTTAATTGGCTTTTCCTAAAAGATCTAATGTGTTGATAGTTTAGTTTTCTAGGAAGTGTATGAAATTCTGAATTACGTATACGTGCACTGCATATTTATGTGCACGGAAGACGCAATGGTTTATATGAGCATTCCTCCAAATGCCACAACGTAGTGTTGTAGGTTCGAACTGATCCACAGGTGGGCGAAAAATTTGTGTCATCTGAAAATAGCTTTACCGAGTTGTCTTAATTGATAGTTGTTTAAGTAGGTAAATAGAAATAGAACAGTATAATGATTCTAATACAGATTATGTTAAAAAAATATTTTTATATCTGGTGATGTTGAAATAAATATCAAGTTAGTGCCCTCACCTCCTGGCTTCCTCTTCTTCTAATACCTTTTTCTGACTGAGGTAGTCGTATAATTCTCCACCAGAACAGTACTCCATAACGAGAATCATTTTCTCGCTGTTCTCGAAAACTGAAAATCATCGAACACAAAGTATGCTTCATAAATTATCAAGACGATTCGATTATCCGCAGCTTTCAACGTCGCAGATCGAGGATTCGATAAATCCTATAAAACACCAACGCAATTTTTTTTTTCAACTTTTAGTTGTAAAGCATGCATCATTATAACAAATTTAATACAAGATTTTTTTAATGTAGAACCTTACAACAGTTCAATTTTAAAAATTGTATTTCAAAATACTTCCCATTACGGAGCATATTGCAATTTATAACTTTATCGCATCAGGTATGATTGTGTCTACAATCATTAAACCAACTATCTATATATAGTATACAACGGTTTGTACACAGACAATCTGTGCCTATTTAATTCTGCATAATGATAATAAAAATACGCCCTCGTTCGCGGAATGATGGTGTTGGGAGGTTGGTCAGCTACAAAAATTTATCGCAGATATGGCATTAAGCACACATAAGATGCTCAAAGTGATGTAGAGTCTGCGACCGTCTTTTGGAAACTATTACCGAACTATTACTCTAATAAAAGGAAACAGGGTGCAATATATGCCTTTCTTTATACATCTCCAATCTCTAGAGAATAAAATTCCTTTATTGTGTTAAGCTCTGAGTTTTTTCTGCGATGCTCCCGCGCACTTTAACCCTTTTGTACTGGCTGTCCTACATAAGGTGGGGTTCGATGTGCTATTTCCCACACACTATACCGACCCTGCTCCGAGCGATCACAATTAATTCCAAAAAATAGCCGGGAGATGCAGTTTTCAAGCGATGGAGTGGTGGTTAGAGATACTGATTTTTAGACAAAAGTAGAAACTTCATCGAAATAAAAAAGAAAATTATTTTTTCTTTCTCCTCCTTCTCCACCTTCATTCTAGAACGGGTCCAACGAACACGAATATGGTACAAACATTCTCCTAAATGTATAAGCTATTTTGCTGTATACTATATACCATTAGTTGATCATATATGATGGGCATGGTCACTGGAAGTGCCAGTTCGGGTGTAATGAAATGACAGCATGACAGAGTGGATCTCGAGCACTACACAGCTTTTTCGAAAAATGTCAAAATCGAATAATCCAAGCGGACGGTTAACCGACATTGGATTAGCACGTATGGGAAGAAAAGTGTTTACTTTATTTTTGTCGACTAACGTAGGTTTACGCAGTATCCTTTCATCTAGTTTACATATGGGTGACATATAGATCTAAGGTTATAGTTAATAGCGTCGCTCACCTTCATATATGTGTACGATGTTCGGATGTCTGACAGAGGACATGATTTGTACCTCGCGCCGGATGCGCACGAGATCGGCCTCCGACTCGATCTTGCATTTCTTTATGGTCTTTATTGCGACCTCCTGGCCGGTCTTCTTGTTTATGCCGAGCTGCACCTTACCGTATGTGCCTTGTCCTAATTTTCTAACTATGTCGAATCTGCGGAAGGAAAACATCAGTTTGAGAAGCTAGTAATTTCTAACGGTTTAATAATTGGTTCAATAACGATCGTTATGTAATCGTAAATTGATTCGACGATGTTTTATGGTTTAAAACTTTACATGATTACTTGTGCTAGTTTACTATACGTTGTAAAAATGAACTATTTAACGAAATCTATCGCAGGGAGAAAATTCGTTATTGCTTTGAAGAAGAAAGACGAGAAGCAGTTTCTGCTGTTGAATGAATGGACCTTTTAGTCCCATTTACAGAAGACCGGTGTACTTATTATACCTCTGCGTTTCGTCTGTTGAAAGTGATAGCCGGGGCCCAACCTCTAAACGTTTTCCCAAACGTTGAGAGGTTGAGCGATAACACGGAATTTGTTGGTAAACAATTAGCAAAGCGACGGAAACCCCGTCATCTAAATTGCCGCCTTGTCCCATAAAAACAAAACAGCAGCATCGCACGGCCCTCCATGGGCTTCGTCTGTACCGACAAACTAGCTAAGCATTTGAGATAAAAACGCAATGACTGTCAAACAATAACTTTAACGCAACCTGCAAATTAGCGTTCCAAGCGAAACAACTGAGAACGTGAAAATTACGAGTGATAAAATAATTTCGCGGCAACGCTGCGTCGACACGGTAGCGAATAATTATACAAGTAATACATGCAAGCCGGTGAAAATTAACGGGCTGGCGGCACGAAAACGTCCGATTACAAAAGATCCACGTGATAATTCGATGTCAATGCTACGCGTTAAACCGGTAGCGTTAACTGTTATTAACATTGTAAACACATCCGCGTGCTGCTTGCGTTATGTTTTGTATTATATTTAGCGCGCTCGTGTTAAAGAGGGCTTACAAATAATAACATGCACTTGAAATATGAAACTTGGAGAGTGTTTGCTCGAAGGACTATAGTTTTTTTAAGTTAAAATCATTAAAATCCATTCACACCTGAATCTCAATAAAATTACCCCCGTAGCTTTTACGCAATGACACATCTAATAAAGAGAGCTCATCAAAGGGAGAGCAAAATCATGTCTGTGTCCCCGAGTTACTGCGCTCACCTATGGTGCATCAAAATAATCACCAAAATATTCGTCAAAAATTCACAATTTGGATACAGCAATATGTTTCTCATTGATAGACCGAGAAACTTTACGCTGCGTTTCAAAATTATATATGTATTATATCAATCATAGGCTCGGCTTGTCTAAAAAACTCTAATGCAAGCATGTCAGTGGGATTACAAACAGCCGGAAATGACGTAGCAGACAAAACTGGACACCCACTTAAAACATTGACGCCAGATGTCTACAAATCGAGCCATCTGGAAAAAGGAAGTTCCAAGTTTCAAGTTATTCAATGATATTCATTGTTTCTTTATGAAAAACTCCTATAACTGTTTATAAATTCTTCATATTTTCATTTGTTTAGGTATGATCAATGATTTGGGACTTGATCGTGACGAAGAAGTTAAAATTGAAATTTAAATATAGATAGATCATTGGCTTACATACTTAAGATGTATTCCTGAATTAAGTTTTGTTATAGATTGAGAAAAAAAAATCTAATTTTGGATCGATGATCTATAGTTATAACAAAAGAGGGAAAGCTACTACACAAGTCGAGAAATAAAATTTGGAACCGATTTAATGCAGTGCCAGCAAGAAGTTGGTCGAGACATTTTCAGTCCATGAATTTTGATGTATAAAGTGCAATTGGCTCTGGTCGCCCCGTTACGAATAACGTCGATGCAATTTATATAAAAGTGGAACACGAGCGGCAAAATAGTAGTTACGACGTATCTGAAGAATCGGGGATTGACCAAAAATGTTTTGAACCATTTGAGTCCATAGAGAGCCATAGTCTGGGTGTACAGAAAACTGTACAGTCGCAAATCGTGTACTTATTTGCGATTATTTATCTTTTTAGGTGGAATGAAACCGATCGTTTTTAAACAGATTAATCACTGTTGACGAAAAGTGTATATAGGAACATACGACAAAAACGGGCGAAAAAGATCATGGTCAAAGGCTCCACAGACTAGCGAAACCTTGATTTTACCGCCGAGCACAACCATCAAATTTTTTTAATCAGAAGTCCAGGAATTTCTGCAGCAACGGGATTATGTCACTACCTACAAGATGGCAACAAGTTATCGAATGAAATGGCATATATACATTACAATGATGTATCTGGTTTAATCCAATGAATTAATGAAAACCACATGTACATATTATTTCGAATCATTGAAATTATAATTTTCAAAGACAAAGTTATAATATTACAATTCTACATACGTATCAAGTCCATAGACTGCGGAAATGCTAGAGCTAATAAAACAGATACCCGATATCTAATCCACAGTAACGTCACCTGCCAAGAAACGGCGTGCGTTGCGTCTCACGCCAATTACGCACCAAATCATTATTGTCATAACGGGACCGCTCCACGTAAGTTGCATTGACGATATCTGTTTCTAATCACGGAACGTACTCAAATAGCAATACCGCGTCGTGTTTACCCCCCCTAGTGGCGAAAGCTCGCGCACGACGAACGCGTGACGTCATCAGTAACCTTTGCGCCCGCGGCTTTGGCTATGAAGGCAGACTCCTGTGTGATTTTTAAACTGAAAAGTCGGCCACGGTTACGCCTCACTGTATTAGTTTCTACGTGCCAAATGGATAAATCGTGCAATGCAAGGAACATGGCGGAAATATTTCGCAATCAAACAAAAGAGAAAACCGCAGAAATCTTATGGACGATTCAAGCAAAGTATTTTTATTATCATTTTTAATGCTATTTTAAACATTAGTACCCGGAGGACCGAGCTTTGCTCGGTTTGTTTTTTTTTTTTTGGTAAATCGTGTATTTTGGAAATTACATTTAGATACAAATTATTGAGTAATGAAACTGATGTTTTTCACAAAAGAAAGAACTTTAAAAAAAAGGTAAAACATAACAAATCGACAAAAAATTAAAAATAAAGAAAGCAATGATCTGGAATCGAAAAAAAGTAAAAAAATAAATGTGTAAATGATCGTGACGCGAACCACGGCCGTCTGTTTTGGGGCCGCCCGATTACCGACCGAGCTACTATGACATTTTCTCTTGCGGCGAAATTTACCGTCATATTCGAATTATATTTTTCATTCCCTGAAAACATGGGCATTTTCTAAAAATGAAACCTAGCTAGATCCATTTTTTGCTCCCGAATCTACGCACATACTAAATTTCATGAAAATCGCTGGAGCCGTTTCCGAGATTCCGATTATATATATATATATATATATATATATATATATATATAGAAGAATTGCTCGTTTAAAGGATAAGATCAATATTAACTAAACTACGTTTGTCTCACTTCATGAGCCCCTAGTTATCTTCTTAATTAACGTTCTTAATAGCAGAAGCTCTCTCTGACATATTTTGCCTCATGTTAACTTTATCGTTTATCCATGTCGTTATACAGATAAATAAATATATTCAATTTCCACGGTATGAAAACTATTTCCATAATGACTCGGCAGCACAGTTACGGTCATTGGTTTGACCAACGGTGGTCGTGGTTTCGACTTACAGGACAAATATTTATGTGACCTACAGATAATTTATGCGGATCTTGGTGTTTGTTCCCATAGAGAGTGACGTCAGCCAGGCGCCGACCAAGATGTTGAGATAGTTTAAATTACAGTGATTTAAATGAATTTTTGATATAAAATAGTTTATCCAAAGCAATATTTTTTTTTGTAACTAAATCAACCAAAACATGTCAAGGGACTTGCATAAGACAAAGAAGAACCATGGCATAAGCAACGGCTCACATACACGTGCTTTGTTTATCAGCACAGTTTAGGTATTCCCCGAAAATTCAACTCGCGGCTTGATGTGTCTTTGCCCGTTCACTCGTGGATTATTAGTGAGAGCGTGAATTATGTACAACAAAATTGTTGGAAGAAAAAAAATGTATAGGTTTATTTTGATAAAAAAAACCCTCTACTGTAGGACTACTCAGGTACTCGAAGATACAAAATTCGGACTTAGTCGATACGTCATTTATACACAATCTCTACCAGTCGAACTAAGCTGTGGTGAAATTTTGTAGTAGGCAAATTCCAAGTTAAATCCACAAAAACAAAAATATTACAGAAAACCATGTACAAGTTTGAAATACACTCCCGTACCATTTCTTTACAAGCTCTTACTAGAACGCCTGTCTAACGTTCGAAATTACTACGGCCCACAAACATCACAAGCGTACAATCTAGATAATGCAGCAGTTTGTATTAATATACCTCATCGCTATGCACGGTTACCATTTGAAACGCTACAACAACTGTTTTAGACTGATAATGTTATGGAAAGTGAGGTTGGCTGTAGTCCAAACGTAGTCGTGGCCAACTAACACCTTTTAGCAAAAAGCGCGGAGTCCTATGCACATGAATTTCGTCTCCACTATATACTCTTTACACCCACACAATAGCGTGAGCTGCATTTTCAACTAACAACTTTCAAAGACGCTGTCTCATCTAGCCTATTCCCCAAATTACCTATTTACGGACGCGTCACATGCGCAAGGTGGGATGGCAGTCAAGTGCAGGCCAGTTTTGAATTTAAAAAAAAAAGCACAAACAAATTAATTTGTATGCGTTTTTTGTTTTTCTCTTTAATTGAGCAAGTTTAAAATGTTATAATTTGTAAGGTTTACCTCATCAATTTTGAAATGATTTAATTGTTTGATGTTTGAAAGAAATTATATTGGAAAGGAAGGTAAAAAATCATACTTACATTTTCGTCAATAAACAAAAATTCAGATAAAAAAATATTGTTTTTTGAATATTATTTCAACGTCGTGGATAAAGCGTATTATGAACAGAGCAAAGGATGATCAAAAATTCGTCAATCAGGTCCGGCTAAGCACCACGACCTCACAGAAGACCGGCGTGAAGTGGAAGTGTTACACTTCTGCATTTCGTCTGGGGAATGATAAAAAGATGGAAATGAATCTGCAACCCTACGGGTGTTGCAAATGTCCATGGGCGGCGGTTGTCATTTAACATCAGGTGAACCGACAGCTCGTTTGCCTCTGTGAGAAACATACAAAAATAGCCACTTAACATTACAATACCTCTGTTTGAGACGTAGTCGATGATCATGGAGCCTCACGTCGCCCGTGTTCTCAATGCCATCCATGATGTTGGCGGTACGCTTCGCTTCGCCCACCACCATTTTGGCTGAAACAAACGATGATGAAGTTCAGCTTTGATCACAAATCGCCTGTAACCAAACCTGATTCTCAGGCAGTCTGGACCTTTGCGGTTCATAAGATTTTACATGGCCGTGGTAAGTTAAGAATATTCCTATTTCTATTCCTATATAATGTACGTGGAAATGCCCGGCATAAAAGATAACGCCGAAAATAAAAAAAACAAGAGGGAGGAAAGCCGACTCGACTGTCGGAACCGGATATATACTGAAAAGATTGACGCCAGATGTCGACAAATCAAGTCATCTGGAAACATAGGAGAGGCTCCTACCTAAGTTAAGGTTAAGTATTGTTTTTGTTGATTAAATCTCCATTGTTTTTGTATGTTTTGGTTTGATGATGATATTAAAAATTTTCCTAAGATGTCATTCAAAGTTAAAATTTAATACAGGTTATGAATAAAAGAACTTTTTATAGTAATCACATTAGACAATTATTACCAATCGTATGTTCTCTACTTCACTGGAGTCTCACCATCTGGTTGCGATATAAAATTTGAGCTTGTGGTCAAAGGCAACATGTGGCATTAAAAAAAAGTATATGCGGTTCGTCGCACCGCGTCCAGCCGTAGATATGGGGAATCACCCCGGTCGGCGCGTGCGGAACATGTGGACCAATTAGATTAGTTAGTCTCGGGCACGGTGGGGTGTCGACGCATCTGCCTCGCGCCTTCATAAGATGCCCGCGCTCGCGTTCTGTCGACTGGGACGTGATGATTTATTTGCGCCGTCTGGCGTTCAATGCTAATAAGATAAGGCGGGTAGGGTGGCAAGGAGTTCATACTATTACAGACTTTTCATTGCCATTCTGTCTTGTCGAATAGATACCTATAACGTGGGTATAGACGACAAAAAATCACAAAACAAGTAATTTAAATAGCAAAAGGCCATTTTTTTTTACAATTTAAACCAATAAACAACAGTTTTGAATAATTGATTATTTTATAAAAAATGTACAGAACATTAATTTTAAAGTGCACGACAAAAGATCAAAAATTTTCAATGACAAATAATGACAAAACACGTGATATTAGCGTGTCGGTGACATGGTGGCTATAGAAGTTTACACTTTAAAAATCATTACGCTTATATGCGTTGAAGTGAAACATCTAAGAATCGATTCGATTAATAATTGGACGAGAACTTAGTGATATTTCAAGGTAGCATCGTATAAGCCATATTTGGTTACATGAGAGAGAAGAAAGATATATTAGCGTAAATAGGGGGACGTATACACTCAAGAGCCCAATTTTCAAAAGGTTGTCAACGCATCTGTAACCCTCGGATGTGGCAGATGTCCATGGGCGACGGTATTCCCTTAACATCAGGTGAATCGTCTGCACGTGCAATATTATTTTGCGTTTTTCACGTAACACCATACACGTGTTAGAATTGAAATTTCTCAAAAATTCTGTAATTCTTTCTGAAATTTTTCAATTATCAGCACGTGCAAAATAGCCCCGAACCGATTGTGTCTTTAGATTTTAGGTTTGTCATTACATATCCCTAACATTCCTGCTATAAAATATTAGTTTGTAATTTGTATGACATGTTCTGGATACAGCATTTAAGTAAAATTCGCATACAACATGTGATTTTCAGAACATTCAATCTGTCCATCGAATTTACAAAGGCCTGGTAATTCTGCGATGGGATGTTTTGAGGCCGAGCACTACCGGCCATAAAAACTGATTGTCAGTTCCACGCACGTACTGCCACGGCTCTCCAAACGGACGCGAGGCGTGAAAGTGACACCGCGTCATTCCGTTGTTATGTCCATACTTATCGGATAAATATAAATTGAGTACAAACCTTTACAAGTTTCACAAGGAACCGACGATAAGCCAGTATTTTTAATCAAAATGGCATTACTCAGAGATTATCAACTGCTATTACTAAATGAATGTATATTAATAAATGATACAAAGAAATTAAATATTAAGTGCCTTTCATTTCAAAGGCAAACAAATATATTGGATGTACTTGTAACAGATACGATAAATATTATTCGCACCTATTGTAATTTTTAAAATGAGTTTTAGCAATCACCAATTAACAAATACACCATCGCCAGTTTGTGTGAACCAGTGTACCCTAACTCCGCAACAGCTGAGCGGTTTTGAATGAAACTCAAAATGGAGACTGCCATTAGTCTGCATAAACACATAGGAAACTTTTATTCTGTAAAAACTATAAAACCGCCTATATAAGTTCCACTGCTGGGCAAAACGTACTCTGTACAAAAGGTTTTATTAGAGCATAGTCCATCACGTGACCCCAGTGCGGATTGGCGGAGCCAACATATCTTCGATTTTTTTTAATAATTATATCGTTTAAATATGTCGGTTTTTCATCAGAATGCATCTCCACCGCAGAGCATGTGATAAGTAAGCACTTAAAATAAATAATTTCATAGGTTTGAATTCAGGTTATCAAATATTTTGAATTAAAAGCGCCCGAAAAATGAGTTATCACGGCTCTGTACAGATAAACTACATGTTTAATTTCGTAAGGAGGTACGTGTGCTGAGCTAGCGTTTTTCAAGCCACCCACAGATTCGCTCCATTGACGAAAATATCCGAACACGTAGCGCATGCCGCCTGGCGCGTACCGCAGTTGTTACCGATGATGCAAACCTCGCGTCTTCTCGAGAAATAACCGGACCGTGTTATTGGGATTTGATGAGTCAGTGTAACAATAAACAAATTAGCTTTAAAGGAAAACACGGTCTAAACGAATGCAACCATAATGCAGAAAGTCTGCCGAATTCATTCGGTGGGATTATTTTCCTGTTTGAGACAATGATTACAGCTTGCCAGCGAAAACTGGTTTGCAAAACCTTGGGCGGGTGTTACATAAATAAGCAATATATGCGAATAATATGATATGTCGTCAATTAGACTAACAACGAACGACAAAAAATGTCAACGGAAGGAGTGTCATGTTAAAAAAGAACTAAAGATTTGTTACACGACAAATAAGGTAGAAAAAATATTAATGATATGTCGGCAGAGACGGAAGGCATGAATCTGTCGACACGGACTGCCTGCAATCGGATCCTCATTCCAATATGAATGCACAAAGACAAATTACGTTCATTCATAATACAACAGCCGTTAAAGCTCATAAGTAATAACGTCTTGTGAATTATGGAAAAGCTTTTGGGCGTGGACGACAACGTTCCCTTGCTATAAATATTTTTTTTATTTACTAATAGAAATTTGTTTTAAGAACTATCGCCAAAAATTCATACATAACCCTTTCCCGTGAGAATGAAATTCTTTAAATTTGTGTTCGCGTTCGATTATTATAGGATTCGGCAGATTTTTTATATAATGATTTAATTGGAATAATACAAGTTGAACTTTTATTCTTTCTCAATTTATCAAAATAAAATATTAAATCAGTTTTCTGTTTTGCAGCAATTCTGACTTAGTGACCCAGTTCAATCCGCCTAATCCCAGCTGACCTAGATAAGATTTGCCGGCTTCGACAGGTCACGCGAAACTTTTTTCTTGTGAAATCTTTTTAAAACTCCTTTCAGTGACCTAAAAACAACTTAGAGAATATGCAAATTAAAAGTTTTGTTACGACAGGCTTAAAAGTAACACGATACTTTGGTGGGTTTGAGTCAGGATAGAAGCATAAAAGTAACTTTGAACAAATTACCGTTCTAAGTCAGATGTTTGTGGTGTATCTAGGGTTGCCAACCATACATTATTATATCGTATATTACTTTAGTTTTGGTAAATATACTTTTGAATAAAAATAAAGTAGGTATGTGAAAATATTCTATTTTCAATATTTACTGTGATGCATAAAATAAAACACTTATAATGTACTCGTATGTACCTACATGGATAGTTACTGAACTTTTAGCGATACTTCTAAATTGAAACAGAACGCTTTCAAATTCGAAGCTTTTACTGTTAATTTTTAGATAGAAGAACACAAGCAATTGTCTCGGTGTTTTTGTACTTTGTCATGTTAAGGGATAAGCTGAAAATCAACACTGAGAACTTTGAGCTACAGAGAGAGCAACTCAACGCTGAGCTTATTTTAACTTTTTGGCAAAATGTTATTTAATATATATTTGTTGTATATTATATCTTTTTTTTTGTTCATACTTTTTCTATGTATTTATCAGGTTTCTTTTTGGGTTATGGCAAATAAAGTAAAGTATTATTGTTATTAATTGTCTGTTCGAACTTAGGGTCCATGATTCGGAATTCTTGAATTGTTTCCTGGCGCGGGAGACTTTCTTATTTAGAACAGGACCGAACATCAATAAATATTATATACCTGAAGCCAAACATTAAGTCAATACTCTCGTGTTATATTATTGGTGACGGTGACTCTTCGCCGGCGGTATTTACGAAACGGTTGCAGACAGCGGCGCGTATACAGGCGACGAGAGAGATCCGTTTAAAGAAGACTAAGAATACGATAGTATATAGTTCTTAACGGACGCGTGACTCATTACGAGGGCTCCCTAGCGAACGTTTGAAATTGGAGCGAAAATAGTGGGCATGATATTTTCTCTGTTGAGCGTGGGCGACGAATGCTTTATTTTTTTGAACACGCGAGGCAAAACGTATACTAAATATTAATAAGTTATGAAGCTAAGAGGTTTGCATTTAGTTAGTATTGGCAATTTTTATTAAGATATCATTCACTAGCTTTCTCATAGAAACAGAAAAGAGGTGATAAAACATTTAAGGTAATATATATAAAAGAACTTTTTCAAACATTGTAAATTAATTAAGACATCACTATCACTAAATAGTATAAAACAAAGTTGTCCCGCTGTCTGTCTGTCCCTATATTGTATGCTTAGATCTTAAAAACTACGCAACGGATCTTGATGCTTTTTTTTTACTAGATAGAGTGATTCAAGAGGAAGGGTATGTATAATACATAGCACCCGTGCAAAGCCGGGGCGGATCGCTAGTAAATTAAATGAG